AATGTGAAATGCAGTATACTTTGAAGGGAGATATGACTTGGTGAAATTATCAAGCTGGTGCAACAAGCTGGACTCTTTGTTAATCTCAGAATTGGCCCCTATGTTTGTGCTGAATGGAACTTTGGGTAATATATATATATATATATATATATATATATATATATATATATATATATATATTTATATTTAAGTAAAGATAATATTGTGACATGTGTGATGAAAAAAATACTTTCTTGTCTGAATTTCAGAGGTTTTCCAGTTTGGCTAAAGTATGTTCCAGGCATTAGTTTCAGGACAAACAATGGACCTTTTAAGGTCAGACAGAAATTCCTTTTACATATCTTTTTTATTTATTTATTATTATTACCATTTGATTTAAAATATTCAATAATCTGATTTGAGGTTCACCTGAAATGCTAGGCTGCAATGCAAAAATTCACAACCAAGATTGTGAATATGATGAAAGCCGAAAGGTTGTACCAAACTCAAGGTGGTCCAATCATATTATCCCAGGTATTAGCCCAAATCCCCTCATCGAAAATCTCGAAGAAATTAAAAAAAAATCCAATCCTTTTTCTTCCCAATGTATGACTCGACAAAATTGGAAGTATTGATTTTTGGTCAATCTTGATAGATTGAGAATGAATACGGGCCGATGGAATACGAGCTCGGCGCACCTGGTCGGGCCTACACCGAATGGGCGGCTAAGATGGCTTTGGATCTCGGCACAGGTGTTCCATGGATCATGTGCAAACAAGATGATGCCCCTGATCCAATTGTAATATTATTATTATTTACCATTTTATCCAATTTCGATTTTTTTCCCCCCATTTTTGTGTTCCCCTGTTTTAGTAGTTTGGTTCTTTATTTTATAGTGTCCATCAAGACACGATAACTCGTATTTTCTTGCAGTTATATGTTTGGATTCGATTTTTTCTAACGAGGAATTTTAACGTGTATCATGCAGATTAATACATGCAATGGTTTCTACTGCGATTACTTCTCTCCAAACAAGGCGTATAAGCCCAAGATGTGGACCGAAGCGTGGACTGGCTGGTAAATATCGAAACTCTGTCGTCTAACGGAAATAATATAAATATATATATTTAAAATTCATTTCATAGGAAAATAATATTTTACTAAAATATTTTACAGGTTTACTGAATTTGGTGGTCCGGTTCCTTATCGACCGGCAGAGGATTTGGCGTTTTCCGTTGCAAAATTCATCCAAAAGGGTGGCTCGTTCATCAACTATTACATGGTAATCAAATTGAAATTGGACAAAATTGATGAATTGATCATAAAGAGTTAGCTAAATATTTTTAAATTTTTATTTTTTCAGTACCACGGAGGAACGAACTTCGGCAGGACAGCTGGTGGTCCGTTTATCGCAACTAGCTACGACTACGACGCGCCTCTCGATGAATATGGTATGTTGAGACAACCTAAGTGGGGTCATTTGAAAGATTTGCACAGAGCAATAAAACTATGCGAGCCAGCTCTTATATCCGGAGATCCCGTTGTTACACCACTCGGAAAATCGCAGGAGGTTTGAATAATTAATTACTATATAATATATATAGATATAGTTTCTGTAATATAATGCATATTAGTTTCTTTGGTTACAATTATTAATTAATGATTTATCTATTTTTTTTTTGTAGGCACATGTTTTCAAATCGAGAAGTGGTGCATGCGCAGCTTTTCTTGCAAACTACGATCAACACTCGTTCGCAAGAGTCTCGTTTGCGAATATGCACTACGATTTGCCTCCTTGGTCTATAAGCATTCTTCCCGATTGCAAGAACACTGTTTACAATACAGCAAGGGTAATTTTGTCTCTTTATATATTTATAACCGTTCGTTTTCTAGAATGTAAGAAAATATTAAATTAAATTAAATTAAATCATGTGTCTGAAGATTGGTGCTCAAAGTGCGAAAATGAAGATGACACCTGTCAGCAGAGGATTTTCGTGGCAATCGTACAACGAAGAAACTGCTTCGTCTTACGACGACAATTCGTTCACAGTCGTTGGATTGAGGGAGCAGATTAATACCACGAGAGATAGCACCGACTATTTGTGGTACACAACAGAGTAAGTGTAAATTGTAATGAATTTTTTTCCGTGATCATATACTATTTTCATTTATTCATGTACTTATTATTATTTTATTTTATTTTTGTATTATTAGTGTGAGGATTGACTCGAGAGAAGGATTTCTACGAGGTGGCAAATGGCCGGTTCTTACAGTCTCGTCAGCTGGACATGCTTTGCATGTCTTCATCAACGGCCAATTATCAGGTGTGCCATAATTTTCAAAATTTCGACATTTAATTTAACATTTGGTTTTGAAAATTAAAGAAATTAGCTATCGTATTCGTATATAATGTATGTAATTTCTTGCAGGAACTGCTTACGGAAGTCTGGATAAACCAAAACTGTTTTTCAACCAAGGAGTGAATCTTCGAGCAGGAGTCAACAAAATTTCTTTGCTGAGCATTTCAGTTGGTCTCCCGGTTAGTCGTCTTTTTTTTACTTGGAATTTATATCGTGTATAATACGATGAGATTCGCTCTAAATGTATTTTTTTCCTTTGTGCATGAAATCAGAACGTGGGCCCGCATTTCGAAACGTGGAATGCTGGCGTTCTTGGTCCGATTTCGCTCACTGGTCTTAATGAAGGGAAAAGAGACTTAACATGGCAAAAATGGTCTTACAAGGTACTTTCATAGTTTAATTTTTAATTTTTAATTTTTAATTTTAATTTTTTATTTTTTATTTTTTATTTTGTTTTTATTATAAAATTTATTACTTTGTTATTGAAAGGTTGGTCTGAAGGGAGAATCACTGAGTCTGCATTCACTGAGTGGAAGCTCATCTGTTGAATGGGTTGAAGGTTCCTACATAGCTGAAAGACAACCTTTGACTTGGTACAAGGTACAAAATATATATTTGGTCAATTTTTTATTTTTTTATTTATTTTAATTTTTTTATTTATTGAAAAGAAAAGATATTGAATACAAATATTTGAGATTAATACTATTTGAATTGTTGAGCAAAACTAGGCAACAATGCTCATTTAACATCAAGAATTGACAAAATTACTATCTTGATATTTTCGACAATTTCGATTTTCAGACAATATTTAATGCTCCGTCTGGGAATGAACCTCTGGCTTTAGACATGAACACGATGAGTAAAGGGCAGGTTTGGATAAACGGTCAAAACATCGGAAGATACTGGAATCAGTACAAAGCATCCGGCAACTGTGGGGCCTGCAATTATGCTGGTTGGTTCAACGAGAAGAAATGCCTAACCAATTGCGGTGAAGCTTCTCAAAGATGGTAATAGTCGGAAAAAAAATCCAATCTTCGATCATAGATGAAATATCTTTTATTGATAATATATATATTTAAAAAAAAAATCGTTCTTTTTCAGGTATCATATTCCTCGATCATGGCTATATCCAACCGGAAATCTACTGGTAGTGTTCGAAGAATGGGGAGGAAATCCTTACGGAATCTCTCTAGTGAAACGAGAAGTAGCGAGCGTTTGTGCAGATATTTACGAATGGCAGCCGACTTTAGTCAACTGGCAGCTTCAATCGTCGGGAAAAGTCAACAAACCGTTGAGGCCGAAAGCTCATCTCTCGTGCGATGCCGGTCAGAAAATCTCGTCGATCAAATTCGCCAGTTTCGGAACTCCACAGGGGTCTTGTGGTAATTTCCGCGAAGGAAATTGCCATGCGTTCCATTCTTACGACGTTTTCGAGAAGGTATCGTGTTTTACAGAATTCTTTGCCTTTGATCTCTAGTAATATTATTAGCATTTGCCTTATATTTCTTTTTTCTTTTTTTTTTTTTAAATAGTATTGTGTTGGGCAAGAATCGTGTACCGTACCGGTAACACCGGAGATATTTGGAGGCGATCCGTGTCCGAGTGTGATGAAGAAACTATCTGTCGAGGCCATATGCAGTTAATTTATGACAGACAACGTATGCGTGTGCCTACGAATAAAATATCTTCTATTATATATCTATATATATACTATTTTATTTTTACAAAAAATCGAATGGATCATAGTTATATTCTTCGGGCTTAGCTGGGGTGAAGTTGTACATAATATACAACACACCATCGAGTCCAAGGCCTTATAAAGATATTTAAAGATGATCACTTTGTATATAGTGATATGATTTATAGTTCTTTTCTTTCTTTTCTTCTTTTTTGTTTTGTTTTGCAACTCTGTGTAATGGGATTCGAATGCGCGTTGAGACGAAGGAAAACGAGTCCATGTGTGTTCGTTTCTCGGTTTCAATATTCGGGATTTGTATATTTCGTTTCATGTAATGAAAGCAATCTTTTCATTGCTTTACCCTTGTAAATGGAGAAAAAAATGCTGTGAAAATGTACTCAGTAATATATGAAGATTATATTGATCACTGAGTGAGTACCCAACAATTCTATATCAAAGAGACTCAGAAACTCTAGATTCACTCGCACTTGCCACTGAGTTGACTCATCAACACATGCCTGGTCAACTAGGTACACTTTCAATCACTCACCAAACCCTTAACTCAAAAATATTCAATCTACTCACATAGTAAGAAGATTATCTTCAAGTAAAAAGAGAGTTTGAATTTGAGAAGAGTGTGTTATCCCTGTCTCTCTCTAACAACAATTGTCTGTAGCATTAAATGTGATATAGAGTCAAAGTCACCCATTGTTGGCGAGGGATGTAAAGATGTCGTTGGAAAAAAACAACGGTTACTGCAGAAAGAGAGAGAAAACGGGAGAGAGAAGCGGTGGAAGAAACGAGAGAGATTATCACAAGAAATGGTGTTACAGCTTACAGAAGACCCTTTCAATAAGCAGCACCTATTACCGAACAAAATGAGTAGACTTACAAAAGAAAGAAAGCAATAAGATGAAAAAAAAGATTATGAATGAAAACATAATTCGAAATAAAAAAGAAAGTATATATATAAGACTAGAACCAGAATCCGTTAAGCTACTACAATTGAACCGGTGCCAACGATTAAACCATCAAACACAACTATCACCTCTGCCTTCTATCTCATTAATTCGTCTACATCTCATGTTCCAGCAAATCGACATTAGTGTAATACCCCCCAAAAGAAAAGAAAAAGAAAAAAAATACAGTTTTGCAGGTGCGGAAAATTTTATAGCTCTCATCCTGCAGAGTTGGCAGTACCTGATTCGACTTTCTCTTCTATATTATTGCTTTAGTTTCCGTCTTTTCAAATCAATCGATCTTCACTGACGAATAGATCTTCCTAACAAACCAGAAGCAAGCGTAGAAGCCAATGGTTCCGGTCAAAACGAAGAAAGCATACGAAGCAATCAACATATACCCAAAGTACAAAATGCCAGAAACGAGCTTCGTAATCTCCAATTTGGTGAAGAAGTAGAAAATGGAGTAGAGGAAAAGGTACAGAGCTGAAGAACCAGCAGTGAGATAAGCCCTCCACCACCAATTGTAGTCTTCACTGCACAACTGGAAATAGCACAGAACAATAGTGATCTCTGCACATGTAATCATCAATATTACAAAGACTATGAAGAGGAAACCGAAGATGTAATAGAATTGGTTCAGCCAGATGGAAGTCAAGATGAAGAACAGTTCGATGAAAACAGCACCGAATGGAAGAATGCCTCCGATAAGTATCGAGAACATCGGCTTCATGTACCAGGCCTGTTCAGGTATCTGTCTCGGAATCTTATTTGTCTTCACGGGATCATCAATAACGGGCTTTTTGAAGCCCAAATAGCTGCCCACAAATACCAACGGTACTGAAATTCCAAACCACAAGCACACAAGAGCAAACATTGTTCCGAAGGGTACAGCTCCAGACGATTTTTCTCCCCAAATCAGAGCATTCAGCACAAAGAAGACTGCGAAAAGAATACCTGGAAACATGAAAGCTGTTTTTAAGGTATTCCTCTTCCACTCTGTACCTTTGAACATTTTGTACAAACGGGCGGATGAGTAGCCCCCGAATAATCCCATAAAAACCCATAACAGAACCATGGCAGTCATAAGTCCACCACGGTTGGAAGGCGAAAGGAAACCTAGTAATGCAAAGATCATTGTCACAAGTGCCATTCCAAAGAGCTGAATCCCAGTTCCTAGGTAAACACAGAGCAACCCGTAATTTACGGGTGCCCTAAACGCATCTCCATGAACAAGTTTCCATCCTGTTTCTTCTTGAGCTTCGTCTTGGGTTTCCAATTGGTTATAGTTTGCAATATCTCTGTACAGAGTTCTCATCATTATCATGGCAACCATACCAGATAGGAAGAGAACAATCATCAAAGAGTTAATGATTGAAAACCAGTGAATTTGATCATCATTCATGAGGAGGTAGGTATCCCACCGTGACGCCCACTTAATATCACTTTCCTGCAAAAGAAATATGGGATTGTTGTGTATTCTATAGTTGGGGGGGAAAAACCTTACAGCAGAGATAAGAAAAAACTAGGTTACAGAAAGAGTACCTTGAAAGTAACATCATACGTAAATATGAGCTCTTTGTCTGTATCAACTTCCTGTGGAACAGCTCCACCCTGAATTATGTTTTTAGTGTTTTTGTTGCATGTTGACACCTTTGGATCCTTCTCATCCCATTCCTTGTATTCATGATTAATGCTGCGAATTGAATTTAGGTGACAGCACAATCGAAGTCAGAAAATATTGACTCCTCTACAAGTCAAACATCTTCAGCGTTCATCTATATATTTCAAATATCGGAATGCATCAACTTAAATTCAAGTGAAATGATGTGAAGCATCAAACCTGATTGGAGAAACTTCAAATCCAACAATTCGAGCAGAATCAGTTTCTGGGTCTTTATGATACATTACTCTGAAACTTAAGTGGTTATGAATGAAATATTTCTCCTCTTTGCTCTGCAAAAGAGAGCAATCCATCTAACAATTAAAAAGAGCATCTAAAACTTCTGGAAAAGCATGTTAAGACACTAACCCCAGCATAATTTCCCTTGAATCCAACACGAAAACCATGCTCATAAGTTGTTAATGAACTTCCATCTCGCCTTTGCCTAAGTACAGCTACCGGTAGGTTATCTAGAATCCTGCATGCAGTTTCAGATGCCAACACTTGCTTAAAATCAGAAGAATCATTTACACTTTCTTACATGTCAGAGGAATCATTTACACTTTCTTACATGTCAGAGGAATCATTTACACTTTATTACATGTCAGAGGAATCATTTACACTTTCTTACATGTCAAAAGAATCAATGAAACTTTCTATCACATAGAAATAGTGATAGCAGAACAAGCATGTCAATACAAGGTAAGAGGTATACTGAAGTAATACAAGAAAAATAACAAGTTGATCAGGCACGCTTACATATTGACTCTGTACTCATCATCAATTTTTTCTTTGAAATCCTTTGCTGCTTGAGCATCAAGCTTAACTTTGCACGCCACTGTACAGGATTGCTCATCCCTCATATGGAACTAGTATAAACCCATCAAAAAGACCCATATTAGGGAAGACGCACTACGAAATAATTAAATATTTGAGGTGCGTCAAGTTAATAATCTAATCATAGATGCTTACAGTATAAACTGAATTCTCTATACGGTCGCCCCTAAGGACTTCCCCCAAGTTTTCAGCGACATTGCTGACTTTTGTGGGCTTGCAGTATTTCAAGTAATAGAAGTCATATGGGAGTTGTGTCTTGGTAGATGATAGCTTGTTCACTTTGACTTGAAGTTCATCCTCCTGTAAAGAATGCAAAGACAGAAAATATAAGTTCGTAGAAAAACGTGAAAAAGTGCAACGCCAAATAAGATCTTTATAATGTAATATTTAAATATATGTATATTTAACATAACAATATAAAATTAAAAAGGGAAGACCATGTTGAAGCACTTATTCATTCCCCAACAAAAATATAACTGGCCAAAATCATTTTCTACATAAAGATCAAGCATTTTCATACCAATAGCTGTACTTAGGTTATGCATTATTTACATTTTCTAATGGTTATGGTTTCATAACCATAAGAAAGTGCCAATAATGGTTGCATTTTCTGCCAACATTTTCGTTACAAGCTGCTTTATGGCATCAATACTCAAATGGTTGCATATAAAAATCTCTCACATCAGTCCTACATAACTATCACCGACTACCATCCGAGAGACAAAAGATACATGCAAAAAAGTCAAAGCAGTCATCACCAAACTACGAAAATCGTACTTTTCATTTTTGCCCAGAAGTTACGTAGTGATTAATGTACAGAACATAATAACAAGAGAAACATGAACTGGTATTACAGAAAGTCAAATGTCAGTATCGATCATAGCCATAATAAAATAAAATAAAATAAAGGTGGAGAAATTCACACGCTGACTCAAACTAATAGCCTTCAATAACTCCTTCAAATGCATACCAACACGATCCAATTCCAATCAAATCAATAACCACCACAAACAAAAATTTCCAAAACAAATTATGAATAAATCAAAGACTCAAATGCAGAGAAAATAAATCAATCGAATTCAACCGATCACCAATTGGATCAACGCACAAAACCCTAGAATTTCATCAAAATGACCAAAACCAAAAAAAAAATCACAATCGAGAGTAGATAAAAACAACCCTCGCGAAATCGGGTACACACTACTCACAGATCTACTGATCAAAACGATAACTAGATTAATCTCCAAACGGAAAAAAAAAATGTGAATCGAGGTAGCAAGAAGAAAAAAAAAACGTACTCTTTGAAAATCGCGAGGCGCAACGCCGGGGAGATAGAAGGAGTGCGCCGATGAGATCAGAAGAAGAAACCATAGGGCAGCGGCGGAGACCCGACCCGTGGTCCGACGATCCATAATTTAATTTAGTTTCTCGATCAGAATTCTCCACACTTGGCAGTAGAAGAAAACGAGAGGAGCTTGCCGAAACAGATTTCTTCTATTTGACCGGCGATAGAAAATTATTTGTTCCAGTTTAACATTTTTAAAGTCGTTGTTTGAAAACGCGAGTTTCTATTTGACGATCATTTTGTCTCTTTGGCAATATAAATATTTTAAGTGTAAATTACAACCACCTCCTTGAGGTAAAGTCAATCTACGAAAAAACCCCTCATATTTTAGAAATTACATCCAGACCTCTTTAGTCTATTTCTTTTACATCCACCCCCCTACAAAAGGGTGCAAATGTAAGAAACTTACAAATTTGAAAGGGTAGATGTAATTATAATATAAGGAGTTTTTTCATAAATAGATCTTACCTTACGAGGACGGTTGTAATTTACCCATATTTTAAAACATACTTTAATAATAGTATAAGGATCAATAAATATTTCAATATTTTGATATTTGACAATTAACTTTTCTCTTTCATTCAATCGCAATTTAGATATTCCAATTATAAGTTTTTTTTATATAACTTAGACATAATTTAAAGAATTACTGGAGCAATATTGAGTGTATCAAGAGATTGTGTTGAATATGTGTTGAGCTTAAACTATGTTTGATGTTGTCAAGAATCAATACTATTTTCCTCGAGCTGGATTGATACTCCTTCACGTTGCACGCAAGTCAGTATACACGTCGCAATTGTGTCTTTAGTTATGATGATTAAGTGGTGAGATATGATCAATTGCGTTTCAGTTTTAACAATATCGTTTCAACTTTAAACGTAATTTTGTCCATTTTTCAGTATGAAATAAACAAAACACAAAATTTGTAGTTTTCGAATTAGGTCTAATCCAGCTTGAATAACCAAGATTGGATATCGAATAAGAAAGTTATTCGTGTATCAATTACACTTCCCACAAATTTGATAATTTGAGTTATCCAAAATTTAAACCGTAACACAGTCATAGCTTTATCATTCGACACCCAAATTAGCTAAGTCAGGTTGAATTAGAAAGCCAACACAAAGAGCTACAATTTCCGCATTTTATATTTTGCCAACATCAGACTAGAAAATGGTCAAAATCCCTTCTAACACAAAACAGTATTAGTAAAAATGCAAACATCATTTAACATTTCGGTTAAGTGGTATTTAATATTTATACTTAAGAGTTAAGACATAATAGTTAAATTTAGATCAATAATATTGGGTTTGAGCTTAAAATTTGGGGCTAAATGTTGAACATAAATAAGCTTTTGTTGACGTCAAAATCAAAAGATCGTGTAAAAGCTAATATTTGTCGTCAATGGACAAAGCACAACGGGTTTTGCTAAAGTAACATACAACAGCACAGCTGACAGCACCCCCACAAAATGCGAAACTATCAAGAAGAACCAGAACATGTCAGCAGATGAGATTTGAACTTATCCAACTCCTCTATCACCTCCTCTTCAGACCGGTAAATCAGGTCGATCATTCGCCATATCTGCACGTGGTTATCGATTTATGATTACGCAAACATTTTATTGGATAAATATTATTCGATTAAAACTCGGGCAGAAGTATACGGCTCGATTTGTGTATTAGGGAAATTTAGAGGATCAAAAAGCAAAAAGCAAGAAAAAAGTTGTTGTTATTACCTGGAGTGTGCCTCCTCCACCGGTCTTCTCTCCGTCTTCAGACACACTAACAATAGTCCAAGGATCGGCTGAATTCCAGTGAAAGTCAACCACCTTATCCCTGTAATAACATTCAGCACAACCGTTATAATTTCAATGTCTGCAAGTTATGGAAGATTATATATATATATATATATAATACACACAGTCAGTACCTGTGCCCAGCGTGTCGGAAAAATAAGCCTGGTGGGTAATTAGAATTTTCTGCTCCAGCACCGTTCTCCTCCTTGCCGATCTGGATCATCAACAATTTGGTTAAAGCACGAATGAAGTTACATTTCAAGTGAATAATTTTCTACACTTTTTTTTTTTTTCAGGGGGGGTAGCTACTAAAATAACACGGGGAGTTTTCTAACGGAGTTTTATAACAATTAGAGCAAGCATAGGGTGTTGAATGCAAGAAACCCCAATTAATTTAGTTGACACAAATTTTTCACACTGTAGAGGCAAAAGTAAGTCGGATACAAATAGGTCGGGACTTCACCTTCCCGTGATCCCAGATATTCAAGACACCATCCTCTGCAGCACTGCCAAAGACAGATGCCTTAGCCGGAGACCACTGCAATATAATTTGTCAGTATATTTGTCCTAATTAAAACAAATATATATATATATATATATATATATATATATATAGGTAAATAAAACCCAAGCGGCTGTAATACCTGGACACATAAGACAGCAGCTGAGTGGCCTTCAAATATGTGAACAGGGGATCCAATTCCCCCGGAAGTAAGATTTCGACGATCATACATTCGAACGGTATTATCAGCAGATCTAAGAGAAACAGAGGGTGTTCAGTCCTAGCATCTACATCTAAAACAATATTCTTTTAAACGTTTAAGGAAAGAAAAAAAGGGGGAAGAAGAAGAAGTAAAAGTACCCTGTCAAAATTAGATTTACATCGTTTGGATTCCAATCAACACAATGAAGATCGGCATCGTGAGCCTTCTCAACCTGTGAGAAAAATAGCCAAAATCAAAATAAAATATGTAATTTCAGGTGACTGTTCTTTGCACGAAGATTCCATTGACTGGTCTCACTTATTCAATATTCCCAATATATAAAATGTTATTTCAGTAAATTTCCATTTTTATCATCACTTTACATTTCTATATATTTCAACACATCAAAATTTGCTATCTTATTGCATTGGAACAAAACAACTGGCTGCTGGCAAAATCTAGAAGAACATAAATGAAAATATTGGCCTTCTTACAGGGAGAAGTTTTCAAAGTCGTATGCCGCAAGTGTTTCAGGATGCAAAAATCAAAACGACGTCCTAAAACTGACGGAAAGTTTTAAGGTAGAAATTAACCTTAACAGCAGGAGAAGAGCCGGTTCTTGCATCCCACAGTATAAGACAAGAATCATCACCAACACTACAGAACTCCTGTGCACTGTATCACAAGGTTAAATAAGCTAATGTTAATACATCATGCTACAGAAAGCTTTCTAATTGAGAGGAATGTTTTAACAACAAGAAAAGATTCTTCCGTATTTTAGATAGACATTTTTACATGTGATTTAAGACTGTTATATTCAGACTCGCATGAGATATACCTTGATGGGTTAAACTGGACATCCTCAACAGTATCTTCATGCCCTTGGAAAATCCCTCTTGCTTGAACAGTTGAGCCGTTTCCAGATTTACCATTGGATCCTGGAGACTTTTGAGTTCCCGAATCTGTAGCCAAAGATGATATATGGTCGTGGATGCTCCACAAAACCACAGACTTATCCTTACCTGCCACAAATGTACCATGTTTAACAAGACAAACTACGAAACACTCGCATAAGTTGGCAAAAAAAAATAGGTTAAAGACAATCTTGTGGAGATGGAATATGGTTACGGAAACTCATAAAATTACCAACACCACTTCAATTCAATAGCAAGCAAACAAATCCAACCAATAATTTCCAAAAAAAATTACATGCTGAATACAAGCTTTTTTATGTTGATAATAGATTTTTTTTCCTTTTTTTATATTATAAATATATGTGCCAACTTCATTTGAGTAGACTTGTCAATCAGCTAGAATCATCTTTTGGAACCCCATGTCGATTATTGTATCCATCTCGCACAGTTAATACGATTAAGCAAATTCAACGTAGTAAAATAAAAGACATGTTAATCGTATACTTTGAAATATGATTAACTTATCATATAACTTTGACGATATATGCAAGTACACACACGGAGAAGCTGGAGATTTTTTACCTCCAGAGAGCACAAAGGGTTCTGTGGGAGACATTGCTAGTGCAAATTCAGCATTATCTTGATGTCCAGTTAGTATCTGCCAGATAATGAGTACCAAGATATCAAACACCTACTCAAGAAGTAATAATTAAGCAGAAAAATGCTAATATTAGGCAAAACCCACTGGGTGATTTAGAGAATTTACGATTACGATATGTAATTAACCCTCTCAGAACGATAATACTTCCAAGATAATGAAAACTTAAGAGTCTAACGCTCTCTGAACGGTAAGTCTTCGAGATAAATCCATAGTTCAGAAGTAAAAACATAATAAAATCACAAGAATAAGATCAGTGCTTCTTTAGGGAAATACCAGATCGGGACGAGAAGGTGTAGCACCCAAAACAGGTTGGCGATTTGTTTGATTCTCTACATCCCAAATCAGAACCTAACCCCAACAAAAAAAGTTTAATCCATAAGTAAATGAGAGCTAAAGTTTAATACCAAACCAAGTGATAGAAGATATAAAAGGTCCGCAGAAATGGAAGCTATGCACAAAATTAAAGGCTTACATCAGGACTGTCAGTGTGGGTAGCCACAATGTTGCTATTCTGTGGCAGTTCCCTTATCCGATTCACCTGCAATAAAACACACGTATGTCAATAGACACTCGATTGTCCCGTTTCAACTTTTAGGCATTTCTTCTTTCTTATGAATATTGCATGCTTTCGTGCAGATCCATTTCTTGGGGGTTTGGTGAGTGCATTTGAATATACACGAGTGCAAAGAGGATAATATATACACCATGATGTCCAAATGGTATGCATAAATCTCGAAAAGAAAGCCAAAAGGGTGAGGTTGCCACAAGTTCGAAACAAAAACCAGAACAAAAATAAGTTGTCTATCTAAGACCAGCGAGAGAGAGAGAGAGAAAGACGGGAAAAAAAGTACATCTACATTAGTGAAAGATGTTACAAACTGACACGATAACCACTCTATCAGTAATTGTATTGAAAACCAATAGTGAGAAAACAAATTGAAACTCGGAGTCTGCCAAATCAAACCAAGACAAAGGGAAACAGACACAAAATTTAGGGTCGCCCTTCCTACGAATGTGTGTGAGACAAGCAACAACATCTATGATCATTTATTTCAGGACAATCCAGCAATATGTGGAAGGTACCTCGCCTGGATGAATGATGGTCTTGTACTTCTTCACGAAAGGTGAACGTGATTCTTCATTGAACTGAAATATCGACAAGCATAAGAATTAGGAAGAAAATCGATGGTTGCAGGTGACAATTAAGCTGGCAATTTCTTGCAGATAAATCATCACACAAATACAAAAATACAATTGAAATGTCCGCACGCCAACTTTTATATAGATACATCACCTGTGATATGTGCTCCGCCGCTGCAACCCTAGCTTTCACAACTTCAACATTTGCTATGACGAGTGTATTTGGAACACTACCATCCGTCTACATGCAGAAAGGAGAAGGAAGAAAAGGCAAATTAGTGAAAATCGAGAATTGAAAATAGATATCCAGGAATAGCTTATGCACGTTGCACATATCTTCGGTTTGTTCAAAATGAAATGCAACACATACGCTGCGGTTATTAGTTGATAATAAGATGGGGAAAGGCAACGAAGAGGAATATAATGCAACAAACGTACACATAGATACAATCGCTTCTTTTTATATTTTCAATAAGCCGTGAAATTTCAACTCACTGAATAACAGAATTCGTCCTGAATGTATTTACCTGTTCGGAAAGGTATAGACGCTGACGGTTTTTGTAAGTAGCTTGTTCCACTTGAGGCCCCCATCTGCGATAGTAAAAGATGCAACTATAATTTTGTAACATAATAATGTCGAATTGTAGATAAAAAAAAAAAGAAATAAAACAATGTATTTTCATTTTCTTCTCTGTGGAGCCTTAACAACCAAAAATTGGATCGATTTAATTATACTGTCATTTTCCACAACTATTTGGTAGGTTAATTGCGTATGAAAGTGGAATAAATTACAGCATTTCGAAGGTGGAAATACAACAGAATCCAGGTGATGTCGTACCAGCAAAAAAAGTTAACCAAATTACGAACCAAGAATAACCATCGTTTAAAAAGAGCAAACGAAAATCCAGAGCATCACGCATTCCTAGGTAATAAGAAAACAAAAACAAAAAAGTCCCATGCATTTCACAAATTTTCAGTAACAAAGCCAATAGATACACAATACGTTCACAGGTGCGAAATCGGAACCGTAAACGAACATAAACGGTACGACACAACCCACACAGCGAAGCAAAATTACTGCCAACATTTACCATCAACTAGGAGCACGCCCGAAAAACCACAGAATTGCTCCTACATTTTCACAAATTTCAACAACAATGCCGCGAATTCAAAACACAACACCAAAAAAATACAAAACAAGACAACTCCAAAAAAAAAAAAACAGAACCAAAACACACACACGCAGCAAAAACAAAACCCTAGGGTTAAACAAAAAATAAAATAAATTAAATAAATAATTCGGACCGGCAAGAGAGGGAAGGCCAAACGAGGTTGTGATTAGCCAGCCAATCATAGAGAACGGGAACTAGGGATTTCCACTGTGTGTACCGATCCTCCACCGAACGATCCGCTGCTTTGTCCTTCATTTTTTTTTTTGTTTTTTTCTTTTCTTTGATTTTTCTGTAGTAATTACAGTATAGAGTGTGTGTTGTGTGTGGGGGGTTTTGCCGCTGAGTTGAGTTGGGTTGGGGTTTTTGTCTGTGCTACCTCGGGTGACGTGTCCTATCTGTATATGTACATTTTTGGTGTACAGATAAAAGGATACAAATTTTACCGTGAATTATTACACTTATTTTGAAAAAATGTGGAAATTACTGCTGTAAGAAATGACCAATATAATTTTTATTTTTAAACTTGATTATTTATTTATTTTCTTATTTCTTATTAAATTTTATAGGCGAAAAATAGAGTTCGTTCGGTTATATCTGTAAGGTTTTACTGACTAAATAGTAGGGGCTAATAACATGTTCGGTCGGCAAGATTCACACTCTTTCAAACCCGCTACTAAAATCAAAGTCCGCTATTAAGTGCTACTATTTCATTAAATTAGTAGCACCCCTCCCCGAGATTAATTTAATGGGGGTGACTAAAAAGGAAAAATACAATTTTATCCTTAAAATCATATTTTGTTATTGTAAATTAAGTGGTTTTATAGACAATTCATATATAATAACTGATTCTAAGAAGCCGAACATGCTACTAACTAGATATCTAATCAGTCAGTAGGCAGTTAATCCAATCTAATCCAATATAAGTAATCGAACGAGCCCTAAACATGATGTAATAATTGAAAAGGAGTTCCATCTTGGATTATTTATTAGTGATTTACGGGTGCGAATTGGAACGGGATTTTTTAATTCCGTACATTTTGATCCGGGTGCGAATTGGAACGGGGTTTTTTAATTCCGTACATTTTGATCCAATTTTTTACTTTTCTTTTTTTGTTATTTTGGAGGTTTTTCACTGCGATTCTGAAAATTTTGATTTTTTATTTAAAAAAAAATAAAAAATTTGACCATGGTAGGATTTCAGTTTGTTCTCAATTATCATCAATATTGTTGTATATTTATATTACATGAATAACAAAAAACCAATTTCGATTTTCATTCCGTTTTTTGTCTTTTTTTAATGGGACTGTAATTAAGTTTTCGGTTTTAAGAAAAATGGAACTGCCCCAAAAATATTTTCATTTCGATTCACATGCTTTTTATTTCGCCTAAGGTTTATTTTAAACAACTGATAAGTTTCTCATAAGATGTTTTAAGAGTTGATAAACTACAACGTCTTATTATCCACTTATTTTTTGAATTTCTTAATTTTTTTAAAAAAAATTACCATACACTTTGAAATAACTTATAAGTTCTTAAACATCTTATAAGCTTTTTTTAATAGCTTATAAGTTTAACCAAACACCCCCAAAGTCTCATTTATAGAAGAAAAGAAAAAAAAAAAAAAACAATATTCTTCCAAAGCTTTTGAGAATTGTTTGTTGGGTCATTTAAGTTGGGATGATAAAATTACTGTTGGATCATTACTTTATTTAATTGGACAATAATTCACCTGATGAAACTAAACTTCTCGTGTAATATTATTTGGGCTATGTTTGGCCCATTTCTAAAATTATTTCCTTAAAATAAAATTGTATTAGCTTTATTTAATAAAACAAATTACAAACATAATATTATTTTTGTTGTCAAATTCTTCTCCCCAAAAATTTGTATGCCAACATATTTATACACTACATTTCTAAATTATTTACTTTCATAATACAAATATAACATTACTTTTTTTTCTCAAATTTCTCTACCAAAATATTTTTCCAAAATATGAAACATTTTTTTTTAATTAAATAAAGTATTATATGTATTATTTAAATCTATCAAAGTCACAGCACATCAGAAGTATTTAATTAAGCCAAATTTAGTATTTAAATCCCTCCAAATAGATTGATCTAATATTTGTGTGGGAAGTCACATGGGGAACTGTGATGTACATAACTTTTGATTTTGGACTCTTCTTTTTGCTATTAAATAATCATTGGATCCCACCCCATCCCAAAAGAAATTATAATTTTATTCAAAAAATAAATAAATAATAATAATAATTAATAAACAATTAAGTGAAAAAAATTAAAAGAAAATAAAGGCATATGACAAAATTGTGGCGTTTTCTTTTTGTGAATTGTGAAAAAACTAAAAGGATAAAAGTCGGTTCGGTGGGCACCACAACTCCTTCGGTCGGTGCTGGCACTCCGCCGCCGTACTGACTCGGATCGCCGCCGTGTCATCATTAATCACTTTATCACCAACTTTGACGATTTTGAATTTTGAGCTATATCATTAAATAAGTTTGTTGAAGTTGTGAATTACTGATTTGTGTGTGTAACTACTAAACATAAATAAAAACATATAAATAATACTTTTCACATAATCGAATAGGTGGTTTTTTTACTTTTTTTTTTTCATTACTAATTAATTAGTCATTGTATTTTAATTAGAACATGGGTGGCTTATTAGCATTACTCAATAATAAAGAGTCCTCAATTGTCAATTTATGCAGACAATTTCTTCGACAGCCCTCAATTGTCGAATATTCTACTTTAAAGCTTATATAGGGGCACATGTGCGATTAAATTAAAATTGAGGGCAACAATTAATATTACTCATTTAAAATACATCAATACTTTAGCAAAAAAATAAATAATATTGGTCCTATAATAGTAAATTATCGAAGACACAGAAGTTGAGCAAGTTAATATGTTACAATTGACTCAAATTCGAATATTCTTACAGACAGTGACTAGATGGAGTTCGTAATATATAATTAGTTTGTGACAAACTCGAAACCTAGCGAAAATTGGCTATGGGAGTGTTATATTTGTTCTACGATGGATTGTAAGTTACAATCATTTATTGAATCTCCATTTCGTAGTAATTAATGCTACCAAACAAATGGCTATTCTTGATTTTTATTTGTAATATCATAAGTATTACTATAGTAGATATAACATCACACCCTATTAACTTGATTAATTATCAAAAGAGTTGTTTGATTGTGTTGAGGGTCGACATTAATCATTGTCCCATTCTACTAAATGAAAAAAATGATGCCAAGTCAAACCTATAAATTTTGGCACATCAATATAATTTGAAAAAGAAATTAAATATAAATGTTCAATACAACTTTTAATTATTTACAAAAGTGTCAATCAATAAAAGTTGCCCCATAGTAGTATTAAAAAAAAAAAAGCAAGTTATTTTTCCAAGCACTGTAAAATAAATTAGGGTAAATTATTGCCATCCGAGAGGTGAGGTCAGATTACGGAAAACCTCCTCCAATTTTAATAATTACAATCATCTTCAAACTAGAAATTTTCTTATCCAGAAATCTTTTTATCCACCTTACGATGTAAAATTTAATAGAATCTTGTAGATTCGATGGAATAGTATGTATTTTGTACTCATTTCGTGAAAAAATGCAGTTTTTTATGCACCACAATCTGATATTTATAAGCCAAAAAACATATTTTTATGATCATTTTGTTTCATAATGTTAAACTCGAATGGGTAAAACGAGTACAAATTGAAGAGTATTCCACATAATCTAGAAAATTTCACTAAATTTGACATCCCAAGAATGCACGTGTAAGAAAATTCACAGTTGGGACTTGGGTAGTAATTACCCAAAACAAGAGGAATTTTTCGTAATTTATCCTTACCATAGGGAGTGACCGTAATTTAACCTAAGTATGCTAAATTTTTTATTTAGTCCTCGTCGAACAGCGGGACGGAGAGCATAAATATATATATATATATATATATATATATATATATATATATATATACACAGTCTAATATACATGTATGAGTCTACTTTTGCTTAACCCCCACCCCATTTGAGATCCTCTGCTCCGGTTCTCTATCTTCTCTTTTTGTCCTCCGATCCATCTCCTTCTCCGGTCAATCGCCGCCGCCGATCGAAGTTTTACCGTTTTTATAGATATGGGTACGCTCGGATCCACTTCGATTTGAGCCTATTACTTAGTTTTTATGCGAATTGGAACCCTCAATTGAATGATCTGTTCTTACTTCTTATTGGTTGTCAATAATTGGCTGGGATTAGACAATCAATACATCTAGGGGTTGAATTTTAGGTGTTTAGCTGCTTCCAAATTCTATTACTGGCTTAATAGGTCAAAATTATATACTTTATTTTTGGTTTCGTTTATTGTTTGGTGATGTTTTAGTTAAATGAACTTGATACTGTTTCTGATTAATAGGGTTTTGTTTTGCTGTTTTTAGAAAGACTTTAATTGAGTTAATGTTCTATATCATGTATTAGAGAATGTCACAATTGACTAGTGTTCTATTTGGTTTTATCTTGGTTGGAGCTCACTCATGATGTTCAATTAGATTCGAATCTCGATTATATTAGAATGTTTTCACATAGATATGTGCATACTGAAATGCAAGAAATGGTGGAAAGAGGTAGATGTTTGGAATATCATTTGTTCAATCAAGTTTCTGCTTGGCACGGATTAGTTTTTCTTTTTCTATGTCCGCCGTATTTCGGGATAAAGTATTTCAGCATTTCATCACTAATTTTTTTCATCTGTTTATGATGACTTATATTTGTACAAATTGTTGTCCAATATAAATGTCGAGATAAAATTATATTGCCATTCATTATTTTTATAGAAATTCAGTGCACATGTCAAAAATGTTAACAGCTACCCCTAAGAATATTATTTACTATGTTTTTTTGGCTTTTCGTTTGGACTGTTCGACTGTTCTTACTTATATTTGGTTTTGGAAACTTAGTTGTCGTTTGTGTACGGCACCTCATGATGTCCCATAACTGCTGTATAGGTGAACTTTGATAAATGACTAGATTTGCAGAATTCTAAAGTAGCGGATTTTGCAGAAGTTACCCCTGTGTTTCATGCTAATACAATTGCTATTTTATTTTCCAGGTGAAAGAGACCATTGTTGTTCAACTCACCTCATTGATGGGGATGGTACTTTTAATGTTACTGGAATTGATAGCTTCATGAAGGAAGTTAAACTTTCTGATTGTGGACTTTCTTATGCTGTTGTAGCCATTATGGGCCCTCAGAGTAGCGGTACAAATGTGACCCTACTCTTTCATTTTTGTTTGAGCAGCTTCATAGATGATGGATATTTCCCTGCTTGACTAGTTTTTTGACACCTATTTTAACCTTTTTTATTTTGTACTTTCGGCAACTCAAGATGCCTACAGGATCTTATGGACTACTGTATTCATTATGTGCTAGCTAGCGTGTCGACTGACCATCGTTTAATTTATTATACATTGTTGACAGGGAAAAGTACATTGTTGAATCACCTGTTTGGAACTAATTTCAGAGAAATGGATGCTTTCAAAGGGAGGCATGTACTTCTTGACTGTGCTATAACCTTTTTTAATTCCTTATTCACCATTGAAAGAATACTGAGCATCTGAATCTCATCAGGTCTCAGACCACAAAAGGCATATGGATGGCACATTGTGTTGGTATTGAACCTTGCACGATCGTGATGGATTTAGAGGGTACTGATGGAAGAGAAAGAGGAGAGGTGCAATAGAATCTCTACTTACTGACTAGATACTTCTATGTTGATTTTGCATGCCCTGTTTATCCTCTGCATTCTAGTGTATGTCAGTCAGGCCTCATTTTCTTTCGTCCTGCTACGTATCTGTCATTTTCTTGTGCGGTATTTATTCCAAGGAGCTTAAACTAAACCACCGTCACTTTCGCACTAATCTAGATTCATGAAAGATAATCTTGCTTTTAGCACTTGACTTGTCTATCATTCCCTCAATCTTTTTGAAGCCTCGGCAACATGATCTGCAACCTATGCATTGCCTATTAATTTGCATCAATAGACAACCGACCTTTGATAAGAATGCTTATTTCATATTTCTTGTGCAGGATGATACCGCCTTCGAGAAGCAGAGTGCTCTTTTTGCGCTTGCTGTTTCTGACATAGTGCTCATAAACATGTAAGAATGCCGGATTGTTATCATTTAAATGATCTAGTTGTTACATTTTAGTTATTATAACTATCCTGATATTCTCTCTTGGAACAAAATTATTATGTTCAGGTGGTGTCATGATATTGGACGCGAGCAGGCTGCTAATAAACCCCTCTTAAAAACTGTATTTCAGGTAACTTATTGGCATCCTCTGTGGTCATTTGCCTTAAAGGGCCAATAATTTGCTGATTTATCTTTATGATGACAGGTCATGATGAGATTATTTAGTCCTCGTAAGACAACTTTAATGTTTGTTATTCGTGATAAAACTAGGGTAAGTTCTCCTTGGTTATCATTTGATGCTGCTTTTTGATACTGAAAAAATAAGATATTCGTTGCATGGTATATTTATTGTGTCTACGTATGCATTGGTGCAGACACCTTTAGAAAACTTGGAGCCAGTTTTGAGGGAAGACATTCAGAAGGTACATCACAGGCAGCCTTTTGCTATGTTTTTGATGGATCTTATTGCAGTTGGTTTCTAATCCTTTTCAATTCTCCCTTTTATGCCTCCTCTTTGGAAGATATGGGATTCTGTTCCTAAGCCACAAGCTCACAAGGAAACTCCATTAAGTGAATTCTTCAATGTAAGTGGTGACAAGTTGATCAATTCTATGCTGTCTTTGTGAGTGATCAAAAACTTAATTTTCTTTTTTTGTTGAATGATTGAATTGCAGGTTGAAGTGGTCGCTCTGTCTAGTTTTGAAGAGAAGGAAGAACATTTTAAAGAGCAGGTTCGCGTTCTTCTTTCAACTATTCAAAATTGTGCTTGTTTATTTCAAATATCTATCCTCAAAGGATTTGGTTTTCATTCTTTGAATGTATATGAAGTTTCGGGTTTCTTTTGGAGAAAGAGGAGTGCAGATAGGAATCTTATATTTGGCTATTATTTTGTGTTTCCCTTGTAGGTGGCAAATTTAAGACAGCGATTTTTCCAGTCAATTGCACCTGGTGGGCTTGCTGGCGATAGGCGCGGTGTAGTTCCTGCTTCAGGCTTTTCATTCAGTGCACAACAGATATGGAAGGTCATTAAGGAGAACAAGGACCTTGACCTGCCCGCTCACAAGGTTCTGAACTAAATTCTATTTCAAATCAACTTGTAAAAATTGTGGAGCAAGTTTTGTCATTGGTATATCTTATCATGTATTTGCAGGTGATGGTGGCCACTGTACGCTGTGAAGAGATTGCAAATGAAAAGTTTTCTTCTTTTATTGCAAATGAGGTACTATTTCTATGTTACTGAGGTATGATTTTATATTCGTGCGAGCATTTTTAATGTGTTTGTTTGGAACATACATTTGCAGGAATGGCGTCAATTAGAGGAGACAGTACAATCTCATGCAGTACCTGGGTTTGGGAGGAAACTCACCTCAATTCTTGAAGTTTGCTTATCCGAGTAAGTGAAAGGCTTATCTGCATTTATATTTTGCTGGGGTAACAGAATGACAGCTATATTCAAATATGCGTCTGTTGAAGAATTTTTCCAATTTTCCAGAGTGACTTTGAAGGGACTTGTCCCTGAAGATATTTTGTAGAAGATGATTTAGTTTGAAACTTTTTGTGCTGTATGCGAGAACCACTTCGTTGGGAATCTCTATGAATTTCATAAACTTAGGTCGGTAGAATTTCTGAAATATTGGCTTTGACCACTGTGATATTAGTTGGGGAACTCTAGACCCCTTTTGGCCCTATACCATGATGGTATATTTATACGGTTGATGGGTCCATTTGTATTCAATCTGATGTACCATCATCACGGCTGTTACTGTTTAGAGATTATGGGGAATGTGGAAAATAAGCTGGAGAATGACCTAAATGTAAACGTTGTGACACAAATTTAAGATACTTCTGGCTTAGCCTAATTCGGGTGAATGTGTAACAAAAGTTATATTTATTAAGTAGATGCTTCCGGTCGAATGTCAGGTCTATCATGTTTGTTTGGTGACAGACATACATATTGTTAATAAAACAAACTTTTTTGGGTAACTGAATAAGTCATTTGATTATGACAAGCAAAGGGGAACAATAACAGGAAAAAGAGAAACCGGGAAAGTTTGTACCTCCACCTTGGGTTTACTTATTTGATGAATGGGAATGGTTAATTTTGTATTTATAAAAAGAAGACGAGAAGTGCATCTGTTTGTTCATCTTCAAAGTTCCTGCTTATTGAGATTGTGTTGAAATAATATTTTAGCAGAACAAATATATTTCACGGTGCTTGGGTACAGAAATTGACTCAAGTTTCTGAGACATTTAATTGTATCTTGTATTTTCATTCCTATAACAGGTATGATTTTGAGGCCACATATTTTGATGAAAGTGTTAGATCTTCCAAGCGGAAACAGTTGGAAGATAAACTTTTACAAGTAATTCTTCTTCTTTATGACTAATTTTACCTTTGTGCTTGGATAAATATGATGTTTAGACTTCTGGATACATCATCTTTTGTGATCACGGTATGCTTTAAAAAGATATTAATTATGCGATTATTTTCTGAAAAAGATGTGGATGATTTGATAGAAATCATGTATGTTGGGGAGAAACATCGCTAGTAAGAATCATGTGCGGTTATTCTTGTTGAAAAAATCGTGTGGAATATACATGACAAATACTGCAACTGAAGTTCCGAACTTGTTGATTCTTGTTTTGCTGCTTAAAAAGTGTGGAAAGCAAGGATCCAAACAAAGCCCATATTGAGTGTCTGAAATGAGGGAGCATTCCCTCTGTATTTTGTTTAGTGATTTCTTCTAATGGTAATTGAAACATGCTTTTAGAATATGGACATTCTAAGCACTCAAAATGCAGTTGCCTTTATTTCTATCGTGCTCAATGGTGAAACTTTGTTTAGTACAATGAATTGTATTAGGTTATACATATAGTTCTTATTATATTTTCTTCGATGTATCCGTACTTCAGATATTAGTTTCATGTCATTAGCCTGACATTGGTAGCTGTTTCAAGCAAGAGTTAATGATGTGGGGGATGGTGGTGGGTGCATTTGTGGTTGTTGACACATCATACATATAATTATTCTGAGGCATTTTTCCATTCATTTTCATTTGTGTTCTTTTTCATTACAATCCTTACATTTGTTTGGTTTTGTTACATTAGCTTGTCCAACCAGCATATCAATTTATGTTGGGACATATACGCTCTGGAACCTTCGATAGATTCAAAGAAGCATTTCAAAATTCTCTGAAGGAGGGTAAAGGATTTGCTGTGGCTGCACGTGACTGCACCGAGTATTCTATGTCACAGTTTGATGAAGCATCTGCAGGTACAATTGTATACATCTCTATTTTGGTCTGGGTGTAGAATATTTTACTGGCAACCCTTTATCAGATGAGGTTGATATTCTCTCTTAAAACCATAGATAAATGAGCTGATTCTTTATGTTCAGTAGCTGATTGATAGAATAGAGCGGGAGTGGTGACAATGGAGAGTATCTCGGGATTGATCTTTACTATATTATTTGTAGATGTGGACATTGATCAAGCAAATTGGGACTCTTCTAGAGTAAGAGATAAGCTCAGGCGTGATATTGATGCACATATTGAAGAAGTTCGTGCTGCCAAGTTGTCTGAACTTACAACTATGTATGAGGTATGAAATAATGCCGAATCCAGTCTATCTAGACTCTTCTGATACTATTATGATCATTACATTACTGCTTCTTGGCCTTTTAAGGATGAAAAAAGTAATATTACGGCAATATATATCAAGAAAAATAATGATATCTTAGCTTATTCATAGATAATTTAGTTTATCTGATTAATTATCAAAATTTGGGGTGATCTAATAGTTATTACTTCATCGGTAGAAAATAGTTGGCAATGTAAATTGGGTATTTGTGTTCACGTTATGACGACCAAAAAGTTTGATGAGCATATACACTGTTTATGTAATTCTTCTTCTGACAATTTTCTTTTGCAGACAAAGTTGAATGAAGCATTATCTGGACCTGTTGAGGCTTTGTTAGATGGAGCCAGCGATGATACATGGCCAGCAATAAGAAAACTTCTCCGTCGTGAGACTGAAACAGCTGTCCGAGGGTTTTCCAATGCACTTTCTGGTTTTGAAATGGACGAGGTAACAAAGGAGAAAATGGTCTTAAGTCTGGAGGATCATGCAAGAGGAGTAGTAGAAGCAAAGGCGAAAGAAGAAGCAGGAAGGGTTGTGATCCGTATGAAAGACAGGTATTTGTTGTCTGTTATATATTAATATCTCGACCTTTAACATAACTGTGAACTTATTTGCATGCTTCTACAAATGGGGAGCTCACCAAAGTATTGTTCGCAGGTTTTCTACATTATTTAGCCATGACTCTGACTCAATGCCTCGTGTCTGGACTGGAAAGGAAGATATTCGAGCAATCACCAAAACTGCCCGATCTGCTGTATGTTATGCTTTGCTGATATTTATGGTGCGATTCTTGGTTTCTTATTTCGGAATATTGACATTTTCTATAAAATTTTGTTTTTGGGCCTAGTCTTTGAAGCTACTTTCTGTTATGGCTGCTGTTCGTTTGGATGATAATGCTGATTCTATTGAGAACACATTGGCCCTCGCTCTCATTGATCCCAAAAGTGGTGCTGCTGCCAATAGGGGCATTTCAATCGACGCTCTTGCCTCAAGCAGTTGGGAAGAGGTAGTTAGCTATAGTTTTGATACTTCTGACTTATTTCAATAACATATATTTAGTAATGTTTGTTTTGATTTATAAGAATCTGTTGGCAACTTGGCCAATTAAGGGAAAGATGAGACTAGAAGTTGACTTAATTTGTACCTAGGTGTCTGATAGTTGGACCCATAGTTGATTATGGAATTGTAGAGCCTTGGCCAGTTTCATTTCACCTTTCTTAGTAATATTAATTTAAGAAATTCATAGTTTTTTTGCATAATTGAAGAGTAGTGCCAGGTTAAACTTTGGTTTCATCTTCCTTGAATGTGGGTATTAGCAATCCGAAATAACTGAAAACTGCAATCCATAATAACTAGTAACTTCTTCCTAAATGATGAGTTTTTTTTTCCCAAAACATAGAATATAAAAATCTCGTGTCTTCTTGTATATGAATGGTATGTTGTGTGCAAATTCTGAAGTTCCTTTCCATGTAATAGGAATTTCTAGATATGTTATAGACTTGTAGCATTTATTATTTTAAATGACCCATTCAAATTTTTGGGGGTGCGTGTGTGTGTGTTTTGAGAAATTGAATAGACATTGATGTCTAGTATTGCTATAGTATTAGCTGAGAGTTCTAAATAATTACTGTGTGTTTAATTACTATGTGTTGCACATGCAGAGTGGATATGAAAATAGTTAGTTTTAGTTCAATAAGTTCAATAAGTTCATATGCTGACATTTTGTTTTAGTGGAAGAAGGAACTAACACTTTATATCTGTCAAACCTTGTGCTCTTTATACATCAACATTTATTGTTTGCATCAACCTTGGTCATTTGTATTTACAGTTATTTTGGGTGCTGATCTGAACCTTTTAAGCAAATTTGTGGACATACTTGTCTGTTCTATATTGACTAGACACTCATACTCGACTTGTGGATGAATTTTGTACTTAGGTTCCATCATCGAAAACCTTGCTAACACCAGTTCAGTGTAAATCTTTGTGGAGGCAATTTAAAGTCGAGACAGAGTATACTGTCAGTCAAGCCATTGCTGCTCAGGTAATACTTCGGAAATTTTCAGTCCATTATAAAGTTTGTGTTATATAGGTTCATTTTCTCTCTGCATCTGCATTTATTAGTTCACATGGATCCAAGTATTTGCTGGCGCTTTATAGAGAATACCTGATTTTTTGCTTTCCACTTTCAGGAGGCCAGCAAGCGAAGTAACAACTGGTTACCACCACCGTGGGCAATAGTTGCATTAGTTGTTTTGGGTTTTAATGAATTTATGACCCTTTTGAGGTACCTTTTTTTTGTTTTTTAATTTTTAAATTTTTAAATTTTTTAATTTTTTTATACTATTTTTTGTTGGGAAGGGATGTGATTTTTGTTCGGAAGGGGTATGATTTTTATTACTTCACATGTTGCAATCTGTTTTTGATGTGATCTTAATGGGTTTCTGCCTATTTTATATTCGTTTTCTTCTTCGGGATGCTCTATGTGTTATTATGCGGTCGTTTCTCAACCTCTTACAGATTTGATGACTCACACTATGGTTTCTTTTGACAGAAATCCTTTGTATTTGGGCGTCATTTTCGTTGCTTTTCTGCTTATGAAAGCCCTATGGGTGCAATTAGACATATCCGGTGAATTCCGAAATGGAGCTGTAAGCAAACTATTATTCTCTCTCTTCTATACAAACTACTTATGTAAATCCACTTTATATTTTCTTGTTTAATGTCTAAAAATAAGTAATGGAGGTGGATTTTTTTTCACAGAGAAGAAGATTTCTTCCTTGGACATTTGAACAGCTTTTCATTTTAATTCCTTATAAATGGATCAAATATTCCAATCTTTTCCTTTGTGCACTTGGCCTTTTCTCATAAGAAGCTCCGACTAATTCTTCTTATCGATTCTCATCTTATATTTTCTTTTTTGTATCTACAGCTACCTGGAATTCTTTCAATATCCACGAAGTTTCTCCCCACTGTTATGAACCTTCTTAGAAAACTAGCTGAGGAGGGCCAGAGCCCTGGTAATGCCAACCCTCAGCGTAACCCTCCAGTTCCAGCAAAGACCGTAACAAGTGGTCCAAGTAATGATAATGGCGGTTTATCTTCAAGTGCTTCATCCGAAATAACTTCTTCCGAAAACGGCACGGAATACTCTAGTCCCGGCCCCCGCCAAAAGGTCCAGTAGCTGCTTCGTTCACTTTGTTTATCCGAGGATTCCGACAATATTTATTTGAAGCATAAATGCAGCACACAGCTTTCGAGATTAATTAAATGTCTTAAAAAAGAAACGAACAGATGTGGGAGATATTTATTTTACGTGGTTGTGTCGTGAAAATTGGCTCACCATGAACGACCGTTTACTGGCCTGGCCTTGATTGTGATTGTTCTGCTTTACCTTCAGTTTTGTATCATTAGAAGTTAAAATTCTAAATATGCACTTAAATCATTATACTGGGAATTCTTTTTGACCCGTTTTGTATTTAGAGAGATCAATGTAATTCTTCTGTTGTGACTTTATGTGCATTTTTACGAGTTTGGTTCGACTTTCGGACAGTTTTATTTGTGAAAACAAATAACAAGGAATCGTTTCATGCGAGAAGAATACGATGCTGTTTTATCGCAATCAACATACTTTCGACTATACGTTACATTTCCCGACATAATAACCTCGTTTGTCGACCTCCATTGCCTGTGAGCAGCTTTAGCTTTTGATAATATAATATGATGAATTAAAGGATTTAGTTTCAAATGGAAAAAAAAAAGAAAAAATAAAAGGACTTGTACTTGGATTTAAATTAAAAAAATTAAAAATCTCGAATTTAAACATTTTTAATAACTTGAAATTAATTTTTTGTTGTTGGAGTAAGATACGTTCTATTGAACGCAGTAGCAGCAACAGAAAAGTATCTAACTAGGGGCTTGGAGTGAACCACACAGGCGCTGGTCGAATCTTGTGGATGCTTTCGTAATCACGGGCATATATAATAGCACGACGAAAACGTACCATCTTCGTAGTTATAGATGCCTACATCATGCTCACCATAGTTGAAACTATTCATTGGTGCATGATCTCCCGTGCACGTAAAATAAATCGAATTAGGTTTCAATCCCGGATATTCATCCGCCCGCAACGCAAACCTGTGGTTGGCACCGACGAACAACGTGAAACCGTCCAACGAGGATCCGCCACCAGTGTTGTACTTGAACGCTCTAATCTCCGGATCATATTCATGAATATCATCACAGCTCGGGTCGACGTACTTGAAAACCATATCCACGTGATCGTACTTGTGAACATCGAATCAGGAACGTCGTCCTTGGAGAAAGCCGTCACAGGAACGGGGAAACCGTCGTCGGGTCCCATTCGTTCGATGGCGAATTGCCTGACGTGGAAAAGCGCGTCCGGGTGCTCATCCGCGGCGGGAACCAAGAGCTAACGGGTCCAGATATTGGCCCCGTCATTTATCTTGTGGGCAGCCGAAAGGGTTTTCCTGCCTACCGGGTACGCGAAACCCCTCGAGTCGTAAATAATCAAAACGGGGTCTCTGAGATCCCAATCCTCGAGTTACTTTCCTTCCTAATGTTTCATCATAGTATTGAGAACTTCAGGATAGTAGTCAAAATCCTTTTGTCCTTGTATACTCGGCCCTTATCCAATCGTTCATACAAGCCTGAGTTTCCGAATTATCCGCATGTAGTAATGATATTTTTGGATGTAAAATATTACTACCTACAATAAAAACTTGTTCGACGGTAACAGTACTAACAGGAACCGATAGAATGTCATTGGCGATTATTATGCTCGAACTTTACTCACATAAATATTTAATTATTAACTTATTCGAGTTTTATCCAGGTTGAGACATTATAAGCTCATAGTTTACTCGAGTTTTAATAAAAAGACTCAAACTCGCTCGTCGTCTCATTATTAAGTTTTCAAAATATTTTGCAAAGACACCACCTAGTACTCGAGAGAAAACAACATCGAATAAAATAAACAAAAGTTATCGATCTAAATTAAAGTGCGGCGGCGTCGGGGCTTGGAGTGAACCATGTTGGAGATATTAATATGTTTAATGCTTCCATAATCACGTGGATAATAGCACGACGAAAATGTGCCGTCTTCGTAGTTGAAAATGCCTACATCATGCTCACCATAGTTGAAATTATTCAACGGTGCATTCTTTCCCGTACACGTAAAATAAATCGAATTAGGTTTCAGTCCGGGGTATTCGTCCGCCCTTAGAGCAAACCCGTGATTGGCACCGATGAAGAAAGCGAGACCTTCCAACGAGGAGCCTCCACCACCACCGCCACCGTACTTCAAAGCTTTAATCTCGGGGTCATACTTATGGGGCGGCCCACCACGGGTCGGGTCAATGTACTTGAAAACCCTACCCACCGGATCGTACTTATGAACATCGAAACCAACGGTCCTATCAGGGACATCGTCGTCATCATCGGAAAAAGCCGTGAGAGGAACAACGGGCAAACCGTCGGGCCCCATTCGTTCCATGATGTATTGACTGACGGCGAAAAGGTCATCGGAATATTCCGTGGTGACCAAGAACTGACGCATCCATATCTTGGCCACGTCAAACTCTTTGGAAGCCGAATAGGCCTTCCCATCGACATCGATGTAGAGCTTTCGTTTGGCGGCGTAAACCGAATGCTTCGGGTCGATGAGATGCCAAGCCTCGACTTCTTGATCGCCCTCGTTGAGGGCGAAGAAGAGCTTTTGTTTGGCGGAGTAAACAAATGATTCGTAAGTTAGGCCGCTGAGTCGGGTCCACTTGGAGCTCCGACCCGGAACGCAGTAGGCAAGTACTCCATCTCGGCAACCCATCACGGCGCGGCAGTGGTGTTGGTCGTCGTTGCCGTCGGGGGAGGATGACGAGATGATGACGTTGCTCACTTTGTTTTTTTTGGGGATGGGTGGTGGTAAGGTGTGGAGGGAAGGAAGCTTTACGTGGCGGCCGGAGATGGGGTAGGTTAGGAACATGTTCTTGTCGGATCTGTTGACGTAAATCAGCCACCCGTGCGAAGATCCCACCAGATAGGCGTTGTCGTCTGGGCCGCCGCCGCCGCCGCCGCGGCGCTTGTTGAAGCTGAGGACTTTTTCGTCGGCGAGGCTGTAGAACTTGTAGATCATGTCTCCGGCGACGAACTGCGGCGGCAGCATCAGCCATGGCGAGGAGGTGGTTCTTGTTCTTGCATGTGGTGGTGGTGGTGGTGGAGATTCGCCGGAAATGCTCTTGGTATGTATCCCAGCACAATGGCTAGAAACATAACTAGGAGAAATTGAAGAAGACGGTGCATCTGTTTTCCGGTGAATGAAATGATTATTGAGAGACGCTGTCAAAGAAACCAGGATCCGAGATCTGCCGCCGGCGGCGGCGGCGGCGGCGGCGGCGGCGGGGTATACTCTAGAAGAAAACAGACCCATTAAGGAGGAAGGCATAACTAACAATACTAATTCACTCTTTCACTACGTTAATTTTCTTGAGGTGAGTTTTTTTTAGTTAAATAATAGATTGATAATAGTAATAATAATTTATATTTGACCTAGATTTCCATGTTTACTTGATAAACAAGCCATCGAGACTTAGAGTCAATCACATTCACAATTCCATTTCTTTTTACCGATAACTATTAGGGCAAATTATAGTCAACTCTCTCGGATGAGATTAATTTACAAAATACCTCTTTTTTTATCGATTAACTAGCAACTTTTCCCCATAAATATTACTCAAAAGTAAAAAAAAATTAGGGGTGTTAAGATATAAGTCCCTGGTGACAAACCTTATTAGAACTAAATGACAGTCCTAATTAAAATTTGCTTCACATCCTTTATCAAAATTCATTCCAGAAATGCCCTTCCATTCACAAATTCAAAAATTAAGGGAGATTATAAATATGTCCTATAGTATTATTTAACATTTTTAATTTGCATCTAGAACTTTTGTTATCTTTTTTTTTTTTTACGTAGAATACGTCTATTTTTTTTTTCCTCATTAAGAATTTTTTTTATTTTTTTTTGTATATAATATTGAAAGTTATGATTTTTTTTAATTTTTTTTCCGGCCGTAGTCATTGTAGACACCCATAGAAAATCGTAGTAATCCGTAGTCATTCACAGACATCTTGAAACCCTAAATCCTTGTTTGAAACCCTAAGTCCTCATTTGAATCCTAGCCGCCAACCGTCAGACACTCATAGAAACTCACAGACATCTATAGATATCAAAATCGAAAAAACTTAGATTCGCCCTACCAAACCCTAAATCCGCCCCCACCAACCCTAGATCTGCCCCAACACCGCCGCCGCACAGCCCACCGCCGCCGCACAGCCCCTGCAAACCTCCGTCGCACAGCCCCCGCCTCCACCATGACCCCGACCCACCCACCGCCGAACAGCCCCCGCAGCTCGCGCCTCCACCACGACCCCGGCCCACCCACCGCCGCACAACCCTTGCCATCGCGCCTCCACCACCGTTGCTGGTCCCTCTCCTGCCACCGCCGGTGACGGCCTTCGATTCGTGTTTCTACTGGAGAAAAAGAGAGATCTAAAGAGATGAGAGAAAGGGAGAACGTGAGAGAGAAGATGGAGAGGGAGAGAGAACGTGAGAGATAAAAAATAAAAAGAAGAAAAATAAATCTGAACTAAAGAAACGTGTATATATAAGTTATATGATTTAGGGTATAAGGGCAAGATATGAATAATAAAAAAATTAAGTATGTGGCTCATATATTATTTTAAATTAGGGATTTAATTAAAAGATTTAATTTGAACTTGTTATTTAGTTCAAATTAAGTTCCGTTTGAGGGGCTCCTGGCATATTACCGAAAAAAATAATCAATTTAATACATAATAAGAAAATATAGTATACTAACATAGTAAAAAATAATAATGCAGTATTATTCATATTTTATATAACATTAATTTTAAGAAATCGAATTTCTATTTATATCTCTTTATAAGATTTGAGATATATTGATGAAAAATAGAAGAATGCTAATTGTTGAAAATTACAGTTAGAAAATTAGTAGACAAGAAATATTAAAAGTAAATACCTACAGAAGTACCATTAGGTGGGATTTTTCACGGTTTAGTTTCAATATAATTTTAAAATTGTTAAAAATTATAATTAGGAATTAGTAGAGAAAAAAGTATTAAAAATAAATAATTAGGAATTAGGATTTTTTAGGGTTGCCAAACATTTTTTTCTTTTGTATATAAGATTACTTAAAAAAGTAACAACCGTAGTAAACGAGCTCGAACCAAGTGTCATAGGATCTGTTCCCAAGTTTGGTTATCATTGTTAAAGAACCAAACTCAGTTGAACTTTTAATGAACGATGTCGAACAAAAATGAGTACTCCAAACAAATAATTGACATTTTTTTCCCAAAAGAGATCCTTATTATTGGGGAGGCGTCTAATTGAAAATTTAATCATGATTATCATACTAATTAGGTGAGATTATCTAAAGAACTTCAATTGGCCCATTAACGCTAGCCCCACCGACTAATTGACGGATCGAGTATTATTTGTCAAATTTGAATTGTAGGAAATCTTCAAATCTCACTAAAAAAATGTCTTCTTACTTTATTTTCTCAACACTACATACTTCGAACTAATATAAAAATCAATGTTTAATTCTAGATTAGGTCATTAAATTACAAAAAATAAAATAAAAATCAATTATTTTGTCTTGTCATACCAAAAAAATTGTAAAGTAAAATGGAGCCATCACCCACCACACAATATAAAAGATTTGAGACAATAGATGAGCAGGTAACATCCCTTTTGGTTCAATTAAAATATTCCTATAAGTCGTACACACGTTACAATTTTTATTTATTTATTTTATTTTTATATTGCTATATTAGTATTTTCTTTTATAAAAATAAACAATGTCAAACAGCGTAATTTGTGTTACGTGTGTTAATAAGAAAGTGGTGGCTTAATTTCACTTTGCACCCTTTAAATGCACAATTTTGGCATTTGCACCCCAAAAATAATAAATGGTATTTTGCACCCTCAAAACACGTTTAATCGTTCAAAGTGCACCCTAGTATATTTTTCGGCTCTAATTTTCCGTCATTAACTTATTTCTTGATCGTCAACATGGTCATTTTTGTCTATTCAAATGATTTTTTCTTTAGGGTGCAGAGTGCTAATGTATTTTCGAGCAAAAATAACTCGGTTGACAGTCAGAAAATAGGTCAACAATGGAAATTCGGAATGGAAAATAAACTAGGGTGCAATTTGAACAATTAAACATGTTTCCGAGGGTGCAAAGTACCATAAATTATTTTTGATGGTGCAAAGTCCCAAAATGATACGATTCAAGGGTGCAAAGTGAAATTAACCGAAATTGATATTATATTTTTTTTAAAATTGCTAATTTTGATCCATCAATCCGATTTCAAATCCTAATTAACCTAATTTTTAATTTTAAGGTACGGGCACTGTTTAAGCAGTTAATCTCTCTCTCTCTCTCTCATGATTTTACGCTTCATATATTCTTCTAAACCCTTCCTTCTCCTCTTGTCTTTCTCTCTCTAAAATTTACTCACTTTTTCTCTCACTACAGACAGATGACAGACAGAGAGAGAGTGTACCCATCACGCCTCAAAGGCGGTGCTGCTCCGGGGGCTGCGAACGGCGGCCCCAGTCTGGCAGTCCCTCCGAACAAAGCGCATCCATACAACGCCGCGCGTCCAGTCTACCGGCCGAAGGCTCCGCCGCGGCGGAGCCACCGCAGAGGCTGCTGTTGCTCGTGCTGCCTCTGCACAACTCTCTTCATCTTCATCATCCTCCTACTCGCCGCCATCGCCGGCGCCGTTTTCTACGCCCTCTACCGCCCCCACCGCCCTTCCTTCAACGTCGCATCCCTCAGCCTCTCCGAATTCAACCTCACCGACACCGCCGTGACCTCCGCCTTCAACGTCACTATCACCGCCCGCAACACCAACAGCGAGATCGCCTTCTTCTACGACCAGATCTCCGTCAAAATTATCTCCGGCGAGATCGGCATCGGCGACGGAATTTTCCCCGGTTTCACACTGAGTAAGAAGAACGCCACCAATTTGAGAGCCATCGTCTCGACCGCGAATTATGTGTTTCCCGACGGAACCGATATCTCGCCGCTGAAATCGAGCTTCAACAGCAGGAATTTACCGGTGAAGATTCAGATGGAGACGAAGGTGAAGACGAAAATTGGGAAAATCGAGACTACGAAGCTGAAAATTAGGGTTTATTGCAACGGAATTAATATTGGAATCCCCAATGGCGAAACGGCGTCGGTTGCAGCAATTTCCAACTTGAAGTGCAAGGTTGATCCCAGAATTAAGATCTTCAAATGGACTATTTAAGGAGAAAAAAAAAATTATCATGCAAAATGTGTGAGATTATATATTTTTGAAATTAAACGAATTTATTTCATTTTGTTTTTGGTGTGATCTGATTATTATTTTGGTATATGATTGTTATTAATTAGAAAGTCATTTCGAGTTTATTAATTAATTTTCACAAACATACATATTTTGTGTGTTTAATTACACGTTTACTTAAATGGAGTTGCTTTCATCTTTGAATTATATATTAATGTACAAATTTGGTTTGATTGAAAATTTCATCATATTGTTGTAAGAATTTGAATAACAATCTCATAAATTTTAGTACTTGATACTAAAAAAATAATTTGAATTTTATCGCAAGAAGTGGTCATATATTCGAAAAGGTTAAATATGAAAAACCGGTTTCGTACGGGATGATCTAACTATTGGAGCAAGTGTGTTTGTGTCAATTGACCAAGTTCGAATTATGTTGCTAACGGTCGCCGAGTCGATCTTGTTACACATGGTTAGCGTAATATGATTTACGTCTCTCAATTTATAAATTATTATACGAAAGTTTAGGTTTATTCAATACACTTATATAGTTGGTTGTGGATTACTTCATTACAAAAAAATATGTACGTGAAAAACTGGAAAATAAAACAATTTGAATGAATATGGATGATGGAAAGTGGTTTAACTAGACAAAAAATAATTGAATTGGGTAAACCAAAATGTTATTGTTTAACAACGTGAAATTTCACTTTGCTATTTTATATAAACTTTACAATAGATGGTTAATAAAATTAAATTTGATTCTTTAAGTTGATGTTTAAATATTAAATTGTTCTTTAATTTGAATATATATTTACATGATGCTCAATCCAAAATGATATACATAAAAAGTCTTCTAAAAAGATTAAAAAAAAAAATTATATACAGAAAAGGTAAAAATAAAATAGTTGAACCGGTCCAAGCATTACCGACTTGGCTATGGTACCCAATTTGGAAAAGAGTACTAATTAGAACTAACTTTAAATTAGCCAATTCCATATTTAAAGTACTTCATATTTTGTGTAATGATTTAATTAAATATTCGATTGAAGAAAAAAACAATTATCATCCACTTACACAATTTTTTTTTAAATAATCATTTTGTATAATTCTAGATATGTGTATGGTTATGTGTAGATGGAGCTACGATTAATTCAAATCTATTCAGTATAAATAACCAGATGTAACATCTAATTTTTTCGGTTAAGGGGCCGTCGATCACCGTTATACGAAACTTTATCGTCTGAAAAATTAATATTTACATCTAAAAAAAGTAAAAATAATTTACACATTTAAGATTTACTTATATCTCTAGCTACTAAAATATAAATCATGTGTTATTTGTTAATTCAAATATCACAGTTTGTGAGGGTGAAAAATGTAGCAGCAGCTTTTAAATCATGCTGATCTTGAATATTGTATGAAAATGATCCATCTTCTTCTTCCTGATCAAATATCGCGTTTTCTTCTGTCAAAGTGCCATTGTTGCTGCAGTTCATTATATCAAGTTATTAATAATAATATAAAAACTCAAATCAAACTGAATAAATTAAGCAATGAAAAAGGGTATTATTTTTTTCATATAATTCCTGCATATTTATAAATTAATTAATTAAGATATATGCAACAATATCCAAATCGATAAATATTTCGACACGAAGGGATCGTATTAAACAAGAACGAAGCCCATGCGCCCGATACAATGTTAAATCGTCCATCTCCAAAAAAATATTTTCTCTTAAAATTAAAGAATTTTACCTTCTAATTTTTTTAAAAAATAAAATAAATAACAAATTTTGTTATTGTTCTTGAGAAAAAAAGAAGAAGAAGAAATTGAATACAAATTAGGGTATATACATAGGAATCAAACCTCGGAATGATGTTTCCATGGGAATCAAAATTGAAGTCGTCGCGTGCGTCGTCATCATCACCGGACAAATGATCAAGAATTGTCTTCATATCATGGCATTCCTCTAATGAAAGGTTACTCATGTGATGGTGATGATTATTATGGTATGGGAATGATGATGACGTGGATTCTGCATGGGAATTCCCATTCCCATTCCAGTTGTCATTCCCATTCCCATTCCCATTGTCATTCCCATGCATGCAGCTCCAAGAATTCAAATCATCTATAACCACCACCTCGTCCTCCTCCGGGTATTCATCAACCCTCCATTTGTCCTGACCGTCGACAATCGAATCTCCGCAGTTGGCCGCCTGATCGGGAATCTCCGCCGCCTGGTGGTGGTGGTGGTGGCGGGCGGCGCGGCAGAGGGCGAGGTGGTGGAGGACGATCTCCAGCTCCGCCTTGGCGATGCTTATCTGCTGCTCGAGGTCGCGTATGATCCTGTAGCAGCCGCCGACGGGGTCGGCGGCGCGGGCGTCGGACTGGAAGATGATGGTCCGCATGGCGTGGTCCTTGGCCGGCGGGTCGAGGTGGCGGACGATCTTGACGATGTTGCTCACGCCGAAGAGGCGGTGGGCGTTGAGGAACTGGCGCTGCCGGTCGTGGGGGAAGTAGGGCGCTAGGATGCAGTCGGAGGCGCACTTCCGCCGCTGGTACTTGCAGGCCGCGCAGGCTTGGATGGTGGAGCCGTGGCTGCGTTGGTGGTGTGCGGCGGCGGATGTGCTGTTATTGGTACTGATATTGATATTGATATTGGTATTGTTATTATTGCTGGTGTAATTGATTGTGGGATTAATGGTGGTGGCGGTGGTGTTTTTGTTGTTGTGCATGGCTAATTATTATATGGTGGGTTTGTTTATTGTGTCTAGTGTGTGTAGTGTGTGTGGGAGATATCGGTGGCGGGTGCGTCTCCGGCGGGGGTGGGGGATGAAGAGCTATGGGGGTGGGGAATGTTTCTTTTATTTTATGTTTCTTGATTGAATTAAGGCTTTCTTTTTGCTTTTTTTTTTCTTTTTTTTTTCTTTTTTTTTCTTTTGGGTGTTTCTCCTTTTTTTTCTCCTACATGCATCCAAGTCAAAGGTTGAACTGCAGAGAAATGGATTTTTTTTCTTCACATTACTACTTCTAGATTTATATTTTATTTTTAATTCCAATGTGTTTTAATAGTATTTGTAATTACAATTACAAAAATAATATTTTTTAGCCGATTTAGTAGACATTATAATGTTTCCGTCTAAAATATAAACGGCTAATTAGATGCGCTACACTTGGTTATTTACAACTGATGGATTTCAATCATAGATCTATACATAATCACAAGGATGTATATGTGTGTTTAATGTGCGGATACTTAATCAGATGTACGGTTGAAACTCACATAGTGTAAATAATCATATGTATCATCTAATTTTCCAATATAAACAACAAACAATATTTTGTAAGTTCTTCCAGCAAAATATATTTCCCCAAAATATAATGAAGATAAGCTCCAAAACGCTTTCAAACAGTCTTACCATTTCATGATATATAGTCCATACTATTATATTATTCCTTTTACTTTGTAATTATATACATAGGTAGGGCTAAATGAATCAAATGAAGTCGAACAAATATTCGACTCGCGCGTTTGGATCTATCGAACTTTAAAACTTATGTTTGAGCTTCGTTTGATAGACAATTGAGTCGACCTCGAACGATGTTTACCTAAAACAAACATGGATCGACTCGAGTAATTTGAGTTATTTGATACATATTGCTTAATATTCTAATCGAGCTTGAGTCCAGCTTTATATATCGAATATAAAATATGTGGTTAAGTTTGATTTGTTCTGAAGGGCATAGATTAGAAGTAAGTTGGGCTATTGACACATAAGACTAAGGTGGTGTTTGCAAATGCTTTTTGAAAGTGATTATGCGGTTTTTTTTGCTCATAATCTGTTTTTAGGTGTTTGCAAAATCAACTTTTGCTTTTGCTTCTCTTAAAATAATCTGCTTTAAGCTATTTTTTTAAAAGCACCCCTAACCCTACTTTTTCAATTTTAGTTCATTTTCCGAAATATTTGCAAACACCCCCAACTTTTAGAAATAAGCACTTAAAACTAACTTAAATCACAATCACTAACTTATGCTTTTAGGTGGTGTTTGCAAATGCTTTTTGAAAGTGATTATGCAGTTTTTTTTCTCATAATCTGTTTTTAGGTGTTTGCAAAATCAACTTTTGCTTTTGCTTCTCTTAAAATAATCTGCTTTAAGCTATTTTTTTAAAAGCACCTATAACCCTGTTTTTTCAATTTTAGTTCATTTTCTGAAATATTTGCAAACACCCCCAACTTTTAGAAATAAGCACTTTAAACTAACTTAAATCACAATAACTTCTGTTTTTAAATAATCATTTGCGAACACCACCTTAAATAATCATTTGCAAACACCACCTAAGAGAGAGCCCAATTGTCCGGATCCGGTAGTTCTTCATTTAGGCCTCGCTTGGAAGACCGAACCCATACGACGTCGTATTGCCGTCAACGGCTTCAAGCCCTCGACAAACTATTTTCAACTCGATTTTTAGGAAGAAAAATAATCATTAATAAAAAAACTGAAAAAAGGAGAAAACGCAGAAGAAGAAACTAAGGTTCAATTTCTACTTTTTATTTTTATTGCATTTGGAATTCATTTGCTATATCGTGAATATGTGATATATCCATGGTGCGGTGGTGTTGAATCGCGAGTGGTAATTTATCTCAAGTTTTCAATACGAGAATTTGATATTTGATTTCTTGATTTGGGTTAATTTGTTGATTTGCGAATTCATATGCATTAGGGCTAACTTTCATATTTTTTCTGTGAAAAGATTCCATTTTTTTTTTTTGGTGAAGCTGATTTATGAAATATTACTTGATAGGTTATTGATGTTTTAGGTATAATTTTTTCAGTTTGAATTCAATCACACTTCGATTACCGAAATTCTGGATAACCGGCGCATGATTTCGGTTTTGTCAGTGTTAGAAATCTAATGTCTCTGCTCAGAGCAGTAACGAGCGATGCAGGATTTTTCCTAGTTTCCTGTCTGTGCATAAACATAGCATTCATTAGATGGATTTATTCGGATTTCGGAACTTAAATTTCATCGAAATTAGGACAAATTCTATTATTTGAAGTTATTGTATCTGGAAATTTAGTTTGCTAAACAAATTCCCCTGTCGTAGAATACATAACTAGTCCGCTTGGTTTCTTTAGCCTCGATTTTTATCAATTTTGGCAAATCATGCGGAGCTTGAGCTTCGTTAGATACTCGATGCATCTCTTATCTTTCCGTCTTTGAACTTTGTCGTTGAAATATCTAATTTTTCATTTTGAATTGAAACACAAAATGTCATTTCTGATAAAAGTTTATTACATCCTTTGAGAAAAAAAAAACAAATATCTGATGAATATCCTCGCCTGATCCATACTTGCAAGAGCTTGAGAAGTTGAGGTAAGATTAAGACCGAGTTCTAAATTGGGTTTATTGCATTTAGCACCCCTGTGTTTACTTCAATTGTCAAAAAAGTACCCCGTGTTATAGATATTAGCAAAATCCTCCTTATGGTTCAATTTTATTAGCAAACTACCCACTAAAAACGCAGCATCTAGGGGGTTTGTGTGCTAGAAAAAATGCATCGTAGAGAGTTTTTTTTCTTCAAATATTTATAACACGAGGAGTTTTTTAGCAATTTGATACAACACATAGGTGCTAAATGCAGTAAACTCGTTCTAAATCTTATGTATGATCAAGAATGGATCTCTACTATGAAGTATGAACCAAGACATCTTGCTTTGAAAACAGTCGCCACGGGGGGCCATGGCCCCCCACTGCTTCTCAAAAGCTCTAGTATTTTATATAGAGATTTCTTATTTTTCGACTAGTATACTAACAGCCCCTCTAGAGAACTTTTAGTGTATATTTCACCCCGTAGCGTTGTGTTAATCTTTTTACTTTGTTCAAAACTTATATTCAACCTGCAATGAATTGTTTGATTTTATTGGAATATCTTGATACAACAAAGCTGATATTAAAAGGGGTATTGTAGGTAATAATGTCGATAAAACCAACAGTGGCATTAAGAGCTCTGTTTGTGGGAGGAATTGCGGCATTTGCTAAAATCGGAACCGTAATGAAAGCAGCTGGCGGAGTGAAGATCGGAGCAGCAGCTGCTGCTATGACTGCTGCTGCAACTGCCGCCGTTTCGGGATCGAAACAGGATCCGAAGAACCCTCCAAAATAAAATCTCCAAGCTGCAAACATTTTGTTCTTATTTATTTATTTTTTTTTCGTTTTTGGATATGGTGAAATGTGCATTTTTATTTAAATAAAATGGTGTAACAATTTATTAGTGAAGAAGTATGTAGCTGACAAGTCTTTGCCAGTCATTCATTATTAAATAATAGGGTAAATTACAAACACCCCCCTGAGGTATGGTCAAATTACAAAAATCCCCTCTTGTTTGGATAATTACATCTACCCCCTCAACTATGATAATTTCTTACACCTCCACCCTTATTGTGCCAAATTCAATATAATCATCTAGATTCCGTGGAATGTGCTCTAGTTTGTATTCATTTTGTGTAAAAATACAGTTTCCGATGCACCACAAACTGATATACACAAGCTAAAAATCACATATTATGATCATCTTACTTCATAATGTAGAGTTTGAATGGTATAAAACGGGTACAAAAGTGATAATGTTTCATATAATCTCGAAGATTCCACTAAATTTGAAGAGCTGAGGGGGTGGTTGTAATTATCCAAACAAGAAGGGTGTTTTTGTAATTTGATTATACCTCAGGGGGTATTTGTAATTTACCCTAAATAATATAATTTGCCACGTCAGCATGTCATACCAATTTGGAGACAACAAACAAAATAAAGGCAAAAACGTGCTGCACACAAATGCGTTTTTAGTAATGTTTTTTTTAATTGACTTTTCTCGGAGTTTCTTCTTGGAAACGAAGATCTCCTTCAATGGAAGTTGTAAGCGTAGCAGACGGTGGGTCGGCGATTCAAGTCAAACCGGGTCAAACCCGGGAGCTCGGAAGAGGCAACGGCCTCAATTCCTCAGATACAACCGTTTCCCGACGCCAAGTTTCGTTCTTCGTGCCACGAGTTACAAACAATGAAGAAATCCTCCTCCGCTTCGAAGTTCTTGGTAGAAACCCCATTTACGTGAGCCGAGATGGCAAAGTCAAGGTTTTTAGGAGGTTCGAGAGAGGCGAAATGGGAAATGGTGATATGTTCTGCGTCTCGGCGAAGAATCCCGTTTGGTATACTTTGAGAAAAATCGAAAATTGCGGCGAAGGTGTTCGACGAAATGACTCAGAGAGTGAGTTGGCTGTGAATTTGGAGAGTGGTGTTGAGTTAGAAAGTGCTGAAGATTTCCAGGAAGAGGGTGTCGATATTTCGGATATAGACCCAATTAAAGGTCAGTTTTTTTTTTTGGTAACTTAATTTTAAGTGTTCTTGAATCAGGGGTATCAGTATTAGCTGCAATCTGTGATGTTCAGGTATGTATATTACTATTGTTTTGTCATTTAGACTGTGAAGTACGTTGGTTGAATTGTAGAATGTCGATTTTATGCTGTAATTGACTAAATGATTCGGGGTTTTTTTTTTTATCACGGATTCGAAATTTTTAGTTCCAAATACTCTAATTTTCAAATGCAATCTTAGTGAGTAAGATCTAACTCCACTTACTTTTATTGCAGAATTCGGGTTTTTGGTTATAGGGCATGAATTTGATTCCTACCCTACGAAAATGATTCGGGATATCAAGAATTGGGATTGGTTTCTTGAGGAAGCAAGGAAAGATAGCGATGATGATGAGGATGACAATGAGGGGAAGAAAGGAAAGAGGAGTGTTAAAAGGAAGAGAAAGAAAGGTGTAGAAAACGAAGATGAAGAGTGGATGGGGGAGAGTGAAGACGAAAAGGTGTTGGTTAATAAATCGAAGGGTCAAAAGGGTAAATACATAACAAGGTCGAAGGATCGTGGTAAAATGAGTGAGGTTACGAGCAAGAGTAAAAGCCCCATAGGGAATAGAATAGGAGAAGTGGACGATGAAGATGAGGAAGAAGATGATGACGATGAAGTTGATGAAACGTTGGGGGGCTTTATCGTCGGTGATGAAAACTTGGAGGATGAGGAAGAAATTGACGATGGAGATGAAGATGAAGATGAAGAAGAATTTGCAGATGAAGAAGAAGATGAATGAGGATCCAATCATGGATTGCAAACTTAGGATTTTGTAGGCATATTATCACTTGTTTGTATGCTTTGTAGGCGTATTACTCGTTTTCTTTTTCTTTTCTTTTTACTTTAACAAACGAACACGTATCTATATATGTACATCGGATAAATATCGCTCTTGTACTGAAGTCCATAAACCACACTAGTGTAAATCATTGGGCAAATATTGTGCAGCGAGCTCGATCTAGAAAATGTGTGCATAAATGATCAAACAACCTCATATCCTTTCACAAAAAAAGTAGGAGAGATTTCGTACACGAAAAACAAAACACCATTGGTGCATTTGATTAGATGATTTGAGGCAGGGATTAAAAAAAAAAATAATAATAAATTCATTGAATTTGTTTGGATTGAATCAGTAGTCAGTTTTAAATTGGCACTTCTCATTTTTAGTTGTTTTTTTGAAAGCTATTTTAATGGATTTCTTTTTAATTGTGTTTTATTTAGAGTCATTTCAAATCATTCTCGTTTGAATTCATTTCAAATCTTTCTACGCAACCGATGGGATTTTTTTTTTTTTCTTCTTAACACGAGAACTATACAATTTTAATTTAGTTTTTTGAAACTCGAACTTCTTTATCTAATGTGTAATGGCACTGGGAACGTTACAGATTAGTTACATACTCTCTCCATTTCATATTATATGTCATAAGTATAAAAATGCATGATTCTTTCATGTGAAAAATACTCTTAGGACTAAAATAATCTTTTTCTAATTATTTACCTCTAATAATTCTTTCTTCATTAATAAGGAAGATGAGGATAAAATTGAGAAAAAATGTAATAAATGCATCATTGGAACTTTATAGTATTAGAATTATAAATTGGAACTTTATAGTATTAGAATTATAATTGACAAATAATATACAATGCAAAAAGAAATATGCAAGTTACGGCTACCCCTTGAGTTATGGTCAAATTCTGAAAACCCCCCTCATATTTGAGTAATTACAATCATTCTCCTTAACTATGTATTATTTTATGACAAAACTCCTTCAGTGGTAAATTTAATTGGTAAAATCGAATCGAAATTTCAGTACGCCAACATTTTATACTATTTACCGAACTCAATATACGATTTGGTTCAATAAATAACCGAATTACATTAATTTTATGTAAAAATATTTAAAAGGAGGGAGTAGCTGTAATTATCCAAACAAAAGGGATTTTTCGTAATATGACCATACCTTAGGGGTGACCGTATGTTGCCCTAGTTAATTTTAAGGCTAAATTACAATCACCCCCTGAGGTAAGGTCTATTTACTAAAACCCCCCTCACTTTTTTCAATAATTACGCTCATCCCCTTACAATTTGTAAATTTCTTACATCAACACCCTTCTGTAGGGGGTGGATGTAAAGAAATTAGAAACTGCTGGGGCTGGGTGTAATTCCAAAAAAAAAAATTTACAGAAAAAGTTCATCGAAGTGCGCACTTTTTTCCCACAAAATTTAACGTCTCTTGGCCCATATATATATAAATTTCAATCCCTTCCAAAATATACTGACAGACTACGCAGAAGATTTCAAAAAGGAATGGCCAAGATTCTAATGCTGAAGCCCAGCTGCAGCAGCAACCATTATCTAACCACTGCATCAATTCTCTCTCCACAAAACGCCGCCGTTTCACTAACAAAAGCCACCATGGCTATGTGCTCGAGCTTTTGCCCTCGAATAAATATCCAATTTCGAGCCAAACCCACTTCTCGTTTCTCCATTAAACCCCAATTCTCTGTTCAATTTAAGGCTTTTTCTTCCCAAGATTCCAATCCTCCCCCCAAAGGTATTTTCTTTCTTTTTAATATAATCCAAGAAACTGAAATGGTGCTTTGATTTAATGTGGGATTACTAATTTTAGTATCTGATTGGTGTGTGCTGCTTGCTTAATCATGTTTAATTTCTTATAATTAAGTGCCATTTTATTTGTAATCAAAATAGTTGAATGTTTGTTGAATTCCTGATAAAACAAGAAAGTTAGGCTGTGTTGAAATTTATAGACGGGATTTTGGTTTTACGCCTCGACATTCTCGATTGGGTTGTGTGTTTTCGAGTTTTTTTTTTCGTTTTGCTAATCCTTATCTAAATTAGTCAGAATTTATAACATTATGACTATTCATCACTGTTTTCGGTTAGTGAAGAGTGTTGTTCTTCGATGATTTCGTGTAGACTTGTTGAATGACCATCTCAACCAAAAGCTTAAGCTTTTAGTGAAATGTATCATTTAATATTAATATCTCCAATAAGAATTGATCGAAGTGACGGAAAACGAGATTTAGTAACTTCGATCTTTCCATCTAATTGAATATATTCACTCGGAGAGCTCAATATATATGAGGCCGAAAAAATGCTTGGATCGAAAATTATAACGAGCTTTACGTATGTAAAACAGATGAGGTGCCAACTCGCATCGGCTTTTTGGGTCTCGGAATTATGGGTTCTCCGATGGCTCAAAATCTCATAAAAGCAGGGTATGAGATTTTAATTTATTATTAGGTAGTCGTAAATATATTCTCATTTCTTCTCGTTTTTTCCGAAGAAAGTGAGTGATGATATTTTAGTACTTTAAGCTCGATACATAATTTTAAAAGATATATTCTTCTGTTGTAGATGCGATGTTACTGTCTGGAATAGGACCAAAAGCAAATGTGATCCCCTTGTCTCATTGGGTGCTAAGTAAGTGCACGAGTTTTGCAAACGGGAAATTATGCTTAAATTAACTAAAAATATATTATCTCGCCCATCGATCTAACTAGCTTAATCGTTTTTCCCGTATGGTATCTTTTTTGCAATTTTGCTTAAAAACGTAATATCCGATGCAGATATAAGTCCTCTCCCGAGGAAGTAGCTGCCTCTTGTGATGTCACATTTGCCATGCTGGCTGATCCCGAAAGTGCAGTGAGTATAAAAAAATTAATTTTATAAATATATTATAGTTGCCTTATCATAGCAATATTCTCAGCTTATTAATTTTTTTTAGGCGGAAGTTGCGTACGGAAAGCATGGAGCTGCAAGTGGTATGAGTCCCGGAAAAGGGTATCTTCGGTTTTTATTTCCTGCAATTTTCTTACAGTGAAATTATAATTTTTTTTTATGGACTTAATACAGCCTTAAGTTAAAGTTTCTTACATGTTCTAACGCATATATCGTTTACAGTTACGTAGATGTTTCCACCGTCGATGGTCCCACCTCCAAATTGATCAGCACACGCATCAAATCTTCCGGAGCACTATTTTTGGAGGTTACTTTATTTATTTATTTATTCATTTTTTTTTTTTAAATCTATTTAAGAATGGAAAACACACTAAGACAGTAACCTAAGTAGGAACAAAAAACCACGTCGTATTTGTTTTTATCTGACAGGCACCGGTTTCGGGTTCGAAGAAGCCGGCTGAAGATGGACAGTTAATTTTTCTTACAGCAGGTTATATTCTTTTTTGAATATTTTTTGTATCCTCGTTTAAAGAGATGTTTGTTCCGATTTCTGTATTATGTTGTACTTGGAATTTCAAGATAAAAGTAGGCTTTGTCTGAAGTGAAACTACTCTGGCTGCTGCAAAATATTTTCAGGCGACAAATCCCTATACGAAACAGCTGCTCCGTTTTTAGATATCATGGGAAAGGTGATTCCTCCACCTCCCTTTCTTCTTCTTTTTTAGTCTTTACCGAAAATGATCTTATAATTTCTCGATCTCGTCTATTTCGCACATTTTTTTTATAGTCAAGATTTTACCTTGGAGATGTCGGAAATGGTGCTGCAATGAAACTCGTCGTCAATATGATTATGGGAAGGTTCTGCCTCTCTCTCTCTCTCTCTCTCTCTCTCTCTCTCTCTCTCTCTCTCTCTCGTGTTTTTACGATGATTTATAAATCCAACATTATTCGTTTCTTTGCATTCAGTATGATGGCATCATTTTCCGAAGGATTGCTTCTCAGTGAGAAAGTAGGCCTCGATCCAAAAGTGCTCGTCGAGGTATAATATCTTTTATTCCGAGTTTATAATAAATACACACACACACACACACACACACACAAGCATCATGCATCGATAAAATTGCAGGTTATCACCCAAGGTGCGATAAATGCACCAATGTACTCGATGAAAGGTCCTTCGATGGTTCAATCTCTATACCCCACCGCATTTCCGTTAAAGCATCAGCAGAAGGTATATATGCTTTTTCCGATCTTCCACCGCTTAAACGAAATGACTCGAGTTGAACCAATTAGGCCTCGTTTGGGAATCTTGAGAGAATCTCAGCTTGAGGTTTAGATCGGATTGAACAAAAATATATATGTCCATATTTAGTTGCTATGTTAACAAATCGATCTCGAATATACTTTTTAACTGACAGCTCCAACATATATAATTTATTTAATTTTTTTTTATAGGACCTTCGACTTGCTCTGGGATTGGCTGAATCGGTTTGTCAGCCAACTCCGATAGCGGCGGCTGCAAACGAGCTGTACAAAGTAGCCAAATCTCGTGGTTTAAGCGACGATGATTTCTCGGCTGTCATTGAAGCACTGAAAGGGAAACTGGATAAATTATCATAGAAGAATTCATTCAGCTTTATATTGAACTATAAAGCATGGAATTTATTTTTTTGTTTTTTTGGAAGAAAACGTGCCTCATTTTGCATTTTTTATGTTACCATTTTGCCCTTTACCATCTGTGGAAAATAGCAACAATTCAAATACATTTTATGTCTTCTACATTAAATTAGTGAATTAAGTCGTCGTTTGCTTATTTATATCGGATTAGACCAGATTAGATTAGATTAAATTAATTCTCTACTGGTTAATTAATTAATTAGTTAATAGTATGGTCGGTTATTTAAATTACATTTGTATTAAATTTGTTAGTTTATGTTATTATATGTGAATTGTTTGTACAGTCTTTTATTTAACAAAATCAAGTTATTATTTTAAGGATAAAATTGTAATTTTCTGCTTTAGTCACCCCTACAAAATTAATCACCTAAATTTTAATTGATTTACCAACCCTCATTAGGAGAGTTGGTACCTAGCCCTTACCAATAGGGTAACGGTCTAGGGTTCGAGTCCCCCCCTCCCCTACTTCCCTTTGTAATGGATTTGAATTTACTCAAAAAAAAAAAAAAAAAAAAAATTTAATTGATTTAATGCTCCATAAATTGTTAAATTATTTATTTATCAACTACTTGCTGCTTATTTAGTTATTTCTATTTGCCTTCATTTAAAATTATTTCCCAGATGCTTCTTCAAATCAAAATCTAATCATTTAATTACATACTTATTAATCAATTTTTAGAAGAATAAGAAAATATATTTTCCAAATAAAATATTATCAAATATTTTCTAATGTAGAAAATGATTTTTTTTTTAGACAAAATGAAAGCAAACAAACTCGAAGGCTACATCTTAGGGTTTTAGCAGTTTAATACTGAGGAGTGATCTCCCCCAATTTCCCCAAAAAATGGCGTCTTCCAAAACCCTAATCCGCCCCGGAGTTTCTCTGATGACCCGATTCCTCACCCGGACTGTGCTTCCCGACCCGAATCCCCTCACATCACGGACCCCCGAATTGATCTCTTCATCGAAATTCTTTCCCTCTTTGTTTGCTTCTCAGTCACACACGCCGCCGCCGCCGCCGCTGCTGCCGCCGCTGCATTTCCCGCAGAATCAAAACGACGCCGAATCGCTCAGGAAGATCTCATTCGAAGGTTTCCTCTACCCTTGTGGCATTCCTTCTCTCCCGTTCTTCCTGCCCGACGGTAAATTTTTAAATTCCTTCCGTTCAGATTCATTGTCGATTTTGCTTTTGAAAATTGGATTTTAGGCTAGTTAATTGAGCTCGTGTTTTTGCTGTACTTGTGGTTATTGACATTATTACTATTATCCAAACATCCGAGATCGTTGAATCCTACTACTGTAGCAGTCTTCTATGCTGTCTCGTTTGCAGCATTGTGTATCATCGCTTCAACTTTGCGCGATTGATGTCAATAATGCTGTAACGATCTTAGTAATGGAGAAAACTGTACCTTGAAGCTGGATTGACATGCTAGAATTCTATGATTTTTGCTCTGTTTGGAACTGATTGGATAGAGCTATAGTTAACCGACATAGTCGTCTAGTTTTGATCATTACTTTGGCGAATGCAGGTAACACAGCAAGTTTATAGGATAGATCTTTGTTAAGAGTCATAGTCAAATGTTTTATATGTATGATTTATTAACCCTTTGGTTTTTGATAGATTTGATGTTTATAGGTTTCCAAAATGCTTGATAGACGGATGGGACTTATGTTTAGATAATGTTAATTAAAAAGTGAATCATGTTATGGTCGTCCTGTTTCCAGCATGTATGCTGTTTGTATCACTAGACAAAAAAATTTAGCCTTGTAAAAGTGACAAATAGTGAACTGTGTTTCGTAAAAAAATATGTTAATGGAGCGACTTCTTACTATGAATATCTACTATTTCTGGACTTCCAGTCAAATCTTTGACTTTCTGGACACGTTTCCAGTCGTGGTTGGAAATTGATCAAAAGTTACTGCCTCGCTTGTGTCTGGTCTGAGAAATAATGCTAATGGTAAAAAAAGAAAACAGCTCCTAAAAGATTATGCCTTCATTTAGGAGGTTTTGTCAGGTCGCGTTTGTCCGGATCTTGTTGTTGAGGACAAAGGGTTCCTTTTTAAAGAAGTTGATTAAAGTAACTGGCCTTGCTTGTCTCTGGTCTAACGGATTACGTCAATGTTAAAAAAACTGGTCCGAAAAGATTATGTCTTTATTGAGGTGGTTTTGTCAGGTCGTGTTTGGCCGGATCTTGTTCTTGAGGACAAAGGGTTCCTTTTTAAAAGCCCGTAAATGCGGTGGGAAATGTGAGGTCATGAACACAATCTTGCATTGTCGTTTACGAAACTTTTTACGCACTTTTATAGCGGTCAGCATTTATATTCTACCAATCTTTTGTCAGTCGTGCTTCTCTATGTTTCAATTTGATAGGGCAACATATACGTCATTGATTCCCATTTAATTGTGAAGAACGGATGTTAAATTGGCGTTTCTTTATGTTTGTCGATTCTTACTTTCCGGAATTGATGTGTGATATATTCTTCTTCTTGCCTTCCCATAGGAGATGAGTCTTCGTCAAATGAGCCAATGATTTTATTACCAAAGAGGACCTATCAACCGAGCAACATCAGGCGCAAACGGACACATGGATTCTTTGCTAGGTCTCCTCTCTCTCTCTCTCACACTCACACACACAGACACACATATGCACACCCCAAGCGCATGTACGTACTGATGTTCATGCACGCGCTTGAGCAGAAATAGTGGTTGCTCAACCTGACGTCATATAGCTGCTGACTCCCTTTAATTTTCCATTCTTGCATGCCTTTCTTCGTTTGTTAATTCCAGTGCGAAAAAGGCTTTTGTCCTATCATTTATTAATCTCTTATTTTGCACAAATATCACGGCTATTAAATGCCCTGATTTTCTTGAAGCAGATATTTGCTCCAATTTTCCTATTTTAGGCTCTCGTACGAAAACCTGCATCCGTCACTTCCTATTTTATATGTGAAAATTTCACCTTCTTGTGAAGAACAACATGCTTTCGGATATTCCGTTTGATAACTGCACCAGCCATATACGAGGACAAAAATTTATTACAGCAGCTTGATTCTAGTATACCCCTTGTGTTAGTGATTAATACATATGTTTTTTCCATCGTGAACAGAAAAGCAACAAAGGGTGGCCGAAGAGTTATTGCTCGGAGAGTCGCAAAGGGCCGTTTTAGAATCACGGCGTGATGAAGCTTCTGGAAGCTTCCACCGAAGTCAAGTCCACATGCAAAGTTGATTTGGTCAGTAGCACAGACAATTGTGGAAATTTTGATTGACTATTTGGAGTTTACTGTGCAATAATAAGTGTACTGTAGGCTGTAGCTTTTTTTTTTTTTTAAGAAAATTAAATTTATGCATATTATGTTTTTCTTTGATTTACTGGTCTGATAATTGACATATTTCTTTCAGTATTACTGAATTAATTCACCTAATATTGGTGTGTGTGTGTGTGTTTTGTCTTATTTGTACATTCACAGGAAGAAAACGCCTACTACAAGAGATATAGATAGATACACTCACCAATTTTACACACACAAACACACATATACACACACTAACCTGTTTGCCAAATGCACACACACCGATGTGTGTGAGAGTTTATTCTATACACTTGTATCCTTAAAACAAACACGTAGACACATGAAACATGAGTGTCTGACACATGCACATTTTGAATGGTGATTTGTCGATTTATTTATTTTATTTTTTTCTTTTATATTTACATAGGCATACTCTAATATATATATATATATATATTTAGAACTCTTAAATAAAACAACAAAACGAAAATAGATTGATTGTATTTCAAGAAATGATAAGAATTTTTCACTACTTGTCCGAAATTGAAATTGAGGTTACACAAAGTTCCAATAATTTAGAATATGCTGCAATTATTTATTCAAATTATATCCCAAAAATATAATATTTAAATCTTCATATTGCACAACAATACAAAAGATGTATATATACATATATTTCTTCTTACACAAGCGCGTGCAGGCCGCGCGTGTGTGTCAGATTATTTTTCTGACCTCTTTCCACATTAAAGTGTGGGAGAAATTCTTGCATCATAAATAACATTAAACTCACAGACAAAAGCTATGAACTGCAGTCATAAAACAAAATGTACAAAAACCCATCAACATCATTATATATATATATATATATATATATATATATATATATATATATATATATATATATATATGAGATGGTAATTATCATCACAAATTATTTATTAATCAGTTCCAAAATGCAAGTATATATGAGAATACATACAGATATTTGAGACTGAAGTTTCAGACTGAAAGACAAAAAGGGGGGGAATTAACAAATTAAGCTGACAAACTGAAAGATGCATACATATATATATATATATATATATA